ATTTCTCCATTCTTTTGAATAGGCCAGGAAACTTCTTTCAGCTGCTTAGTTAGTTCTCTGCCTTCAATCTCTGCCACCAATTATGCTCAGAAACTTGGACAAGATTTTGTTCCTACTGAGTTTATTCAAGTGAGGGTTTTGCTGAAAGAGAGAACAGAGCTTTTCTGATCCACATGTTCTTTTAATTTTGCATCTAAATCAGCCTTTCTGCATATTGCAGAATCACCTCTTGGGATTTCCCCCCTTTGTTTTCCTGTCACACATGCCACTCACCTCCATGCTTTTTTAAGGGTATGGAGGATGCTGCAAGGTTTCAGCTGAGGCTAATCATAGCTCTTTGGTTGCTCTCAGAAACCACTGGTGAGTCACATGAAGAACACTCCTATTTAATGCAGAGAGGATTTCTATGTATTTTTCATCACTGCTGGCAAAACTCAGACAAATTCCTCCTGAATCCTCAGCACTTCTGGGTGCAAGGCAACAGGGTGGGTGGGGAGCCTTCCCAAGCTGTGGAGAGCAAGGATTAACACTCAGACCGACCTCGGGTCACTGCAGGCCAGGCACCAAAGGAATTTAAATCTTCCCTTTCAGTGCCCTATGGCTGCTCCCAAAGCAGAAAACACAGCCCCAGATTAGGGCCCTTCTCTGCCGCCTTGCTAAGGGACTGGTGAGGAGGAATGGCACAGAACAGTGAAGAAACCTGTAACCAGGGTATTAACACAAATTCCTGCTCATGGTGACATGCTGAGTGTTTGCCTGGTAGCTAAATAATTATGCAATTTGTGGCCTGGCTGCTGCGTCTCTAAATATAATTAAATATATAAATATATGAAACACAGTATGCTTTTTGCTGCCTGAGAATTGATCTAACTTTAGGGATTTGTGATTTGATTCTCAGTGGAAACCACCATGTAACAGGACAGCTTCCAAATTAAAGGATCAAGGCTGGAGTTGATACCTGTGCAGTCAGAGCTCCATTAGCTCACAGTGGATATAGACTGAGACTTACTTCTGAGCTTTATGAAGACCTCTGCATTTTGATTTCTGCATATGGAGATGACAGGGTTTTATAGGCCAAATATCGAAGAAATTTCTAGATCTTCTTGTCTTTTTAATATGAAGGGAAATTCTAAGAAGCCCATTTATCTACACTGAACAGAATTGTGTTCAGGCCCTATCCTCTATCAAACTCTACGGTCACGCAAGAGGAAAAATCCACTGAGGAAAATTGTGTCTGCTGCTCTCCTTAGGTCATCCTGAAAACGGATGCAACTCACCCTGACAAATTTTAGTCAGGAAAAACAGTGATTTTAAAAAAGTATTTTTAATCCCTTAAATGGCCTTTAACCCGTTCAGTGGCATTGGAGCAATAAGATTTGGAGTTTGAGGAAAGGTATTTCAGGGGAGAAAATGGATAAGGATTTTTGCACCAAACATTTTGCTTAGATTTTCATTAGCTTTTAGGAATTTCTTTCCTGTAATACAGAGCATGTCTGTTATTTGTCTAGCTGAAAAAGGAGGAGACAGCTACAAAAGTAGCCAATGGTGTTTTGTTGGGAGATTTGTTCTGTTCCAAACCTTCCACTCTAGCAGAAGTGATTCTAATCCAGTTGCTTGGGATGAACCATCAAATGTTGGCATGTTTCATTTTCAGTGACTATATGCAGTGGGATTTCTCCAGTAGCAACAAAATCTGTTCACTCCCTCGTTATGCTCCCACGTGCCTTTGACCAAGTGTTGTTCAGCTGTGTTTGTGAAATCAATGTTAGTCCAACTCCAATTTTTCCTTCTAAATTACTGACCAAAATCAGCTACTACTGCTTTATATGGAATCTGAATAGAAATATTTAGGAGAGAATTTTAACCTATATGAAAGATACAACTACATGAAAGGTTTGTAGGTTTGTTTGTTTGTTTGTTTTAAATTAGATGACTTTAAAATAGCTTGATGTTAACTGGTATTTGTACAGTGTGTTTTCTGAGGTTATGCTTGTAATCTTATAACTAAATTTCTTATTTTCATCATTTCAAACGGGGGGGAAGGTATCCTGAACTGGTTTTCAAATTTACAGACAGTATTTTGCTAAAAAATCCACTGGCAGATTTGCTAACACATTTTAATTTAAACTGTGAATGTTTTCATTAACATACATTTGGCACAGAAAGTCCTAGCCAGAAACAGTGATTTCTTCCCAAATGCATCTCAGTGTTTTAAAATGCTAAATCCTTATATATCCAGAGTTTCAGAATCACTCAGAACTACAACAAATTGATCAAGCAAATCCTTGTGCTACAATTAAAATGGGAAGAACGGTGAGCTGGGTAGTTTGTCATGATCCACGAGAGTGGTTTTAAAGCGCAGCTGACTAAGATGTATTTCTTCTGGCTCGAGGATGGTCTCTGAGTTGTACCTAAATATTAGCCGGGATGCTCATTCAGATTCAGAGCTGCTTGCAGGACGGGATGAGCAAAGTTGCTGCCCAGCTGTACAGGCAGCGCAGCTGCAGTGGCTCGGAGGATGAGCCCTCGGGGCGAGGAAGGGACGCTGTCCCCGCCGGCCCCCGGGCGCTGCCGGGCGAGGGGATCCCCGAGGGCGGCCGCGGCCCCGCGCCCGCAGTGCCGGGAGCTGCGCTGGAGCGTGTCCCAGAGCCGTGCCCGCTGTGCCCGCCCGGAGCGCCCCGCGGGCCTGCCCAGGACGAGCCCGGGGAAATTACTTACTTGCCTGTGGCAGCGGGTCCCGGCTGCCCCTCTGGCCCCTGCACCGGGCGGGAGGGTTGTCATTCGGGAGGGAAGATGCTGCGCAGCAGGAGCCGGGACGCGCCGAGGGCATCCCGGGGCCGCGGCGGCCCCCGAGCTACGGCCATGCCCGGACGCCCGGCCCCGGGCCAGGCGGCGGCACCGCTCGGTCGCTTCGGAGCGCCCCGGGGCGTCACTCCAAGTATCCGTCAAAGACATCCAGCTCGCTGTCCGTCTCGTAGAGCACGGAGCCAGGGTCGGAGAGCATTCCCAGATCCACCAGAGCCTGGTCCATATCCTCGGGCAGGAAGACGATGCCTACATTGAGGACGATGTACTCCATCAGGAAGGCATAGTACAGGATCAGCACGTTGACAAAGAACAAGCCCACGTAAAACATATAGGGCAGCACCAGCAGCGCATGGAAGGCCCAGGACTCCACCGAATCCAGACGTGCCGAGACCGCGGCGGGCATGCAGCCGTGGGGGCTGCGGGGGCAGCGGGCACCGACCCGCACGGCCGGCGCGGGGGGGCGGGCGGCAGCGGCGGGGCCGGGAGCGGAGCAGGGCTGCACGACCGCAGTCCGCGGCGGCAACGCAGGGCAGAACACCCGAGGAGCCGGATCCGGACCCTGGGAAGAGGTGAACCCCCTCAGGGGCGCGGAGCGGCCGGCTCGGTCCCTTCCGTCCCCGGAGGACGAGGCGCCCCGGCGGCCAGCGCGGGTTCAGCGGCGCTGCCGCAGCCCCGCCGCTGGCAGGAGGCTCCTCAGCGGCATCTCCAGCGCGGCTGCTGCAGTCCCGCCGCGGCTCCTTCCTCCTCCTCCTCTTCCTCCTCCTCCTCCTCCTCCCGCCCGCAAACTTCGCGGCAGGAGCCCGCAGGCGCGCTGGGAGCACCTGCCGCCGGCTGCGGGCCCGGCCTGCGCGGCTGCACCGCGCTGCCCGCCCCGCTCCCCGCCCGCCGCCGGGCACCGCCGGGATGGGGACGGTACCGGTACCGACAGCCGGGTCCCGCTGCGGCTGCCCGAGGGCTGGAGGGGGCAGGAGGCGGCTGGCGGTGCCCGACCCTCGCCTTGCCCAGCCCTGCAGCGCCCCGCAGGTTTGCGCTGTTCCTCTGCCCCTGGAAGTTGTTCCCTGTCCCCTCCTGGCGCAGCGCTGCGGGCGCGGGCCCCTCTCGGCTGCGGTGCAGGTGTTTCTTTGCTGACCAAGGCCATGCCTTTATCAAAATATAACCCAAGGCATACTCGAGGTGGTTTTAACACTGGCTGACAAAATCTTTTACTTAGATTTAATTTATTTCTCTGATTAAAGTAAAAAAAAAAAAAAAAAAAAAAAGTCCCAAACTAGGTCACGACAGTCACTAATAGTCCTGTTCTCTTAATTCTTCTTTGATTTTTAAAGAGATTCAAAAGTAAATGTGCAATCCTCATTGGAAGAATCTTAGCAAGGGGAATGTCAGCAGCTGCATTTCCTCTGCTGTGTCTCACAGCACAGGACCTGACCCCACAGAGCTGCTTCCTTGGGGTTATGGAAGCTGAACAATGAATGTCGGGGACCAAATTTGCATTAAGAAAAACATTGCCAGCAGGCCGAGGGAGGTGATCCTGCTTTTCTACTCAGCCCTGGTGAGGACACATCTGGAGTGTTGTGTCCAGTTCTGGGCTCCTCAGGACAAAGAGAGACACGGAGCTCCTGGAGTGCGTCTAGCGGAGGGTGACAAAGATGATGGGGGCACTGGAGCACCTGTCTGACGAGGCCGAGCTGAGGGAGTTGAAGCTGTTCAGCCTCGAGAAGAGACGATTGAGAGGGGAGCTCGTCAGTGTCCATCGGTATCTGAGTGGACGTGTCCGGGGATGGGCCGTGCTCTGTCCGGGGTGCCCAGCAATGGGACAAAGGGCAACGGGCAGGAAGTTCCACCTGAACACGAGGAAGAACTTCTTCACTGCGCAGTGACCGAGAACTGGAACAGATTGTCCAGAGAGGGTGTGGAGTCTCCTCAGTGCGGATATTCCAGAACTGTCTGGACACAGTCCTGTGCCGTGTGCTCTGGGATGACCCTGCTGGGACCAGATAACGCAGTGCGGTCCCTTCCAGCCTGCCCCATCCCATGACTGTGACCCCCGCTCCCCCAGCCGGGCAGAGCGCCTCAGCGCTCCCCGTGAGGGGCGGCCCCCCCCGCGCGGTGCCCGCCGGGACTCGCAGTCCGGGGGCGGGGCCGGGCCGGCGTTCCCGGCGTGCCCCGCCCGCGCGTGCGCCCTGCGAGCCGGTGCCGCCGCCGGTGCCCGCCCGCTCCGCCCGCTCCGGCCGCTCCGGGCCATGGTCCCGTAGGGCCGCCGGGCCGCGCTCACCGCCAGCATGTTCGGCCGCTCCCGCAGCTGGGTGGGCGGCGGGCACGGCAAGGCCGCCCGCAGCATCCACTCCTTGGACCACCTCAAGTGAGAGCGCGGGGCCGGGCGGTGCGGGGCCGGGGGGTGCGGGCGGCGCTCCCGGGCCGTGACGGGGCTGCTCGGGCGGGTTTCGCCGCCGTCTCCCCGGGGGAAGGCGCACGGGGCGGTCCCGGTGGCGGGGCAGCCGCTGTGGGCCGGTGTCTGCCCCGCGGAGATCGGCCTGTCCGACCCGGAGCGTCCTCGGGGCGGGCGCAGCCCGTGGTGCGGTGTCGTGTCACGCTCGGTGTTTGGTCTTTAATAATTGCCGCGGGCTCTTGGGCTGAGTGGGGTGCGAGGGGTGCTAACTACGGGAAACGTCACATTCCTCTTGGGGGAGAACTTTGTTCGCTGGCAGTGGCGAGGTGGGAGCGAGGAGCCTTTCCCGGTGTGAGCAGGACAGAGCCGGCGGTGTGCGGGATGGATCGCAGGGCTCGGCAGCTGCTTGAGAACTACACCGGTGGTCTCCGGAGCCCGATATATATCTCCCTGTGTTACTGTTGTCTCCAGAAGATGGAATAGTTTTCGGGTTTTTTTTCCTAGCTCTGCCCCTGGAGAGTTGGCAGGATGGCATGGGATAAAAAATTTTAATTTCTCTGCTCCGTTTTAAGTGTTGTGCTGTTGCGAGAAAAATGAGATCCTCTGTGATAACTACTTGGTACTGAAAAAGAAAAGGAGGTCATTAAGAGAGGAAGCATTTTTGAAATGAAATCACTGGGAATATGTAGCTCATTGAAAAAAAAAAAAAAAAGAGTGATAGTTTTCAATGATTAGTGAGATTACAAGGAGGACATGAATGGGGTCTGACAGTAATGGGTAGGATGCACTGTGCAAGATTTGGATCTTGCAGTTTCCTTATCGAGATGGTTTATGGATTCTGGTCCTCATCCCTGAACTGGAAAAACGTTCAAAATGAGCAAGACTAACTGAAATGCATTACTTTTTACCAAAGACAGGGAAATCAAGTGCATGAATAGAAAACTGATGAGGCAGTAGCATTGCAGAAGTAGTTTTGAAAGCATGGTATGTCAGACTAGTAAGTAACATGATCTGGCATTGCAGGAAAAAGGGGAAAAGTCATGCTCAGATGTAAACATAGGAGTGTTGTATTTAACATACAGGGGGTAGTCATTAGGTACTCAGTGCTAGTGGGGCTTTAGAACTGTCTGGCTTTGATATTACACTTGAAGACAGAACAAGAATGCTGATATAGGATGAATTTTGAAGAAACTGAACTTTAAGTTTAGGAAAAAAAAATAGGCTGGTGAGAAGGAGACTTGAGAAAAAAAATGTGTCCATATGTTCTCTCAGAGCCAGGGATAATACAAAAATGGCACACTGGTTGATCTGCAGCAAAAATTGGGCTAGAGGTGCTGTGGCTTGTGCTTGACTTCTTATCTGAGAATTGAAGTATATAATTCTCTGTTAAACGACTGGCTTTGGTCTGTTTGTTTCTTTGCATTTGACTTCTTTAATTATGAGTCTGAAATGGCAGTATGGAAAGGGCAGACAAGACCTTTGATCTGTTTAGACTATGTATATTTTAAGTGTTTATTTAGCCAGGCTGCATGAATTTCAACAGCAAGGGTAGTGGTAAGGTGAAATTTAGGGCTTGTCTGAGATAGCAGCTGAAGTGGGTGAAGTAACAGAAGGAAAAAGAGTAGAGAGTCTTCATTTTGAGTCATGAAAGCAAGTTGGTCTAGATAAGATCCCTTGATAAGCTGTCTGCATTCTCATCTTTTCAACTCATCAAAACTCCATGTCGTGTTCCATGTGAAGGAGTTGAGTAGAACACACCAGCCTTGCTGTCACAGATAAGCTCAGCCTGTAAAAGGTATCTTATGCTTACAGGAGTGAAATCTGCCCGGGTCAGCCTTATGGGAATGTTTGTATTTTGAAACTGGCATAAAGTAGAGTTTAGTCTAAACTGTAAACAATGCACCTGTTTAGTGATACCGAGAGAGTCTCTGCTTTTGGTCAGTAAATGTTGGATCTTTCCCATCAGCTTTAATGCAGTTTGTTTTGAAGCTTGCTTTGGAAATTTTACTATTCAGTCTCTCTGCACACATGCCATAGAATGGATTGGTTGAGGGAAAATTGTGAAGCTGGCTGTATTAAGTGTTTTATACAGTCTGTTGGTCTAGTGAAAACACAGTTTAATCCAACTTCTGAAATGTGATCTAGAGAGGGATGAAACAGTACTATGCACTACCTGGGTGCTTCCAACCATTATTTTTCAGAGAACTTGGTATTTTTGTGCATCTTTGTTTCTAAGACACAATTTTTCACCCTACTTTTCTAAGATGTTTTACACAGCCCTGTTATTACCTTAAAGTACATTCCCCATTGTTGCTTCTGCTCTTGGTATTTTAATTGCATAGTGATTGCACAACAGGTTTTATGCCATTAGAGTTGGGTGCTGAACATTTCCCATGCCTTGGTCAGAAGCAGCGTCCCTAGAGGTGTGTGCTTCAAGTCTCTTTTCACAGTTGATTCATTTCCTGAGGTCCTGCCTGTGCTATGCATTGGGTTTCCTCTGTGAGAATAATATGTAATTACCCATTTAGAGCAGAGTGAAGAGACAAGCATATTATGCTTAGGTCTGAGGTTTTAAAACTTGACTGCTTGACTTACTAAACTCCTACATGTTTTAGTGTATTTTTGTGAGTAATAAGTAGGAAAGTCATTAATACACATTGTCTGTATTCATGGGTTATTATGTTACCCCTTTGAGCATGCTTTCTTACCAGAAAAATGTTCAGAATTTTGTTTGTTTTGTTCAGTTGCTGGCAACATCTCCCACTGATTTTGGTTGTATTGAGTACTTTGACACTTCCTGTGTGATGGGTTTTTGTTTATTTGAACCCAGTCTCCAGATACAGAGATAACAAGGGCCTCCTCTGAGGGATTTTGTGTTTTGGAGCACGAACTTGACCCATCTGTAATCAGAATTTAGAGAGGCTTTAAGAATTTGTCTAAATATAAAAATACGGGGTTTGTGTGATACTTTGTTCTCATTGTATGTTATTTTAATTGTGTGGAAAGAGAAACAAGTCTGTGCCTGCTTTCTCATTCCTTTTCAAGTAAACAGATAGAGGAATAGCTTGAAGGTGAAGCCCAGGTTTCCTCTAAGTGCATCAGTGCCTTAACAAGTTAAGGAACTTTGCATTAATGCTGATATTAAGTAAATAAATTTGGAGATAATGTGTTCCTGACTATTAAAGGTTTCTTCCTTTTTGCATCTGTAATACTCTGTATTCCATAGGCTCCCCGGGTGAGGTAATAGCATATAATTCTTCCCACTACATCCCATTCCCAGAGTTCTACTGTTGGAGTAAACTTTATTTCCAAGCTTGTATAATGAGATTGATTAATGAGAAATATATGTTCACAGATGCAATCATTTATATGTGACTTCAAATAGTCTAAAATATGTGAAGTAATGTGGTATATAATTACTCTCTTTAACGGTGACAGGAAAAATACTTACTGTCCAGATTGCTGTGGAATGAACTGATCTAATTGCCATCTCTGCTCCATTAACTGCTGCTGCAAGCTCAGAGCAGGGACTGAGTTTGTGCACTGTCTTTTGATTCACTGTCCTGATAATACACATAGTGCCTCGATGGGAAGGTTTTGGGGGACTCCTGTGCCATGTGCTCTCTTAGAAACCCTGGGAATTCTCATACACTGGCAGGCTTAAGCTCTCACGTGTTCGCTGTGAGCCATCACGCTGTCAGTCTCCACAGAAGGAATCTTGAACCGTGATCCCTGGATTAGTGGAAGAGGATTTGCAGGTGCTCTTTGGCTTGCCATTTAATGACTGTTATGGTACTGTCCGTAACCAGCCAGTTATGACTGCAGGAGATAGCTGTGAATCAACTTTTCCTAAAGTGGTTTCAACCTGAGCAGTTTCTGTTGTGGATTTGAAAATGAGTATTGATTTATGAGGGGGATGAAAAATACCATCAAGAGAGGAGAGATATTTTTACTGAAGAGAAAGACTATGAAAAACCAATTTTCTTCCCCCTCTCCTGCCACCTCCTCTCTTTTTCCTCCTCTTTCCTTTGCAGTCTGGTGATCCATGTCATATGATAATGGCTTTGGTAATGTGATATAGGCTTTGCCACATTGCTGATTTTGGGGCGTGGTGTATCACGTTTGTTAAAGCTGTGAACTTCTGAGAGCTGTTTACCTCTGGCTGTCCTTGTGCTGTACTCAACACAGTAAAATGTTGTGTGATGATTAAGTAATATCAAGATCAGCAAGCACACAGTGTTTTACCCTCACAGCATAGAGCATTTCACCAAATCAACTTCTCTGGAGCAGCACCTGCTCCCTGCATGGCTTTTGGGGATGGACAGTGTCTTGCAGCAGGTCCTGTGAAGCTCTGCCCAACTCAGTGGCAGCTCAAGGGTTTGAAGAAGATCCCCCAAACAAAATTTTGTGAATGTTAAGTAAACTGTAAATATGATCAAAGTTAAACCCTCCTTTTTTTTTTTTTTTTTTGGTGGGACAGAAAGAAGTAACCTTTGATGTAACAACTTATTTTGGGGGGAGTGAAAAGCACTTAACCTTGATGAGTAAAATTCTCAGACTTAGAATACAAACCTTCCAGACTTTATTTAGCTTCCTGTCACCTGTATGATACAAACATGCCCTTTTTTTTTTTTTTTGAACTCTTGCCCTTGCCATGGTAAAGTCAGAACTTGCCTCCTTTCTAATTGGTATTTCTGTGCTCGAGGTGCCAGAGACCTGGTGATTAAGCTTTGCCAAGATGAATGAATATTCTTTGACAGTCCTGGTATTAAACATCAAATTGATGTGACTCTGTAGATGATCTCTGCTGACAAGAAAAGGGGTCTGATTTCTCCAGTTAGATCTGTATGTGCCTCTTTCCACAGTTACACTTTCCCATACCATACTTACCTGCTTCTTCTATTTTTCCTTTTTTCTGCTCATCACTCCTTTGACTTCAACATATTCCAGAGAAATTCCCATAAGAAACAGGGTGGGACAAGTGTTACACAGTTCCTAGTCCCATGTTAACATATGCATAAACACTCATAACTGGCTGGTTAGGGATTTGTTTCCTTTGCCACATATTCTGATTTAACAATTGCTTTTCTTTCTGCATCAATATTAAAAGGAAAGTTTAGGATTTTAGAATTGTGCAATGATTAGACATAGCATGTGCATATGTGTGGGTCTACATTAAGTTACAGTTACTAAAGCCAAAGTGGCAGGACAGCATCATTACTTGTACTTATTTTTTCTTTTAGGTACATGTATCATATTTTGACTAAAAACACAACAGTAACAGATCACAACCGAAACCTGCTGGTGGAGACAATTCGTTCCATAACTGAGATCCTCATATGGGGGGACCAGAATGACAGCTCAGTGTTTGAGTAAGTTCTTCTGAGCAGTTTGGACTCTGCTTCTGTTTTTTAAAGAATGCTTAGAGTTCTACAGAATTCTAGTTCAGAAAGTTATTTCTTCCAAGACTGTATTTCCTGAATGTATGTAGAAAGCCCTGTCCTGTAGTAGATGGGTGAGCAGTATCATATTCATGTCGTGTAGAAATTTGCTTATTTTAAAAAAATGTTCGAAGTCCAGAGCCCCTTTTGTGTACTGCTTTTGTTTGACTCTCCATTCTTTTGATATAAATACAAACTAACTGATTTTAGTGCCCAGATTTACTTAACATATCTAGTAATATCATATTGCTTCAATTTGTTCACTTCAGTTTACCTAAGATATCACAAATAAATGTCTTATTCTAGCTATACTATTTAGAGGTTTTAGTTCAGGTATTGTTTTAATCCTTATAGAGTAGGGTGATAGAAAAATGAACTTCAAAACAAATACAGTTGCAAATGTGGCAGTATTTATTGCCTTTGATTTGCAGTTTGCTTCAAAACACTTGTTCTTTTACAAAGACAATTTGTGATTGAGATAATAAAAGCTGAAGTGTTTGGTGGTTTAAATTACTTGTTTAGGGAGTGGTTCGTTTTATTATTACAAGATTATTTCAGCATGAATTGGTTATGATGTGGACCAAGAAAATTATTCTGATTAGTCATATCTATACTGTAATTCTATCACATTCCTCACTGTCTTCTCTGCTTGGGAGAATTTTAGGAATGAGGAGTTTTTTCTTTTGTTAATGTAAAGAAATTTTCGTGGATGTGTATTTGTGATAACCTGGTAGGAAAGAGTCCACATTGTTCTCTTATATTGCATTTCTGGTTTAAAAACACTGCAAGTGTTCACTTCTGTTTGAATTGTATAATGAGCCATGAAATGCCTGTTTGGGTGTGGGAAAAATAATTAAAGTGGATCAAAAATAAGCTCTGCAGTGTTGAAAAGAAAAAGTGTGTTAGCTTAACAGGGGCACGTGAACAAAAATGTAACCTTCATTTAGAGGCTCTCCCCTTCCAAATTAAGATTTTAAGGCAGGGAAGGTGCCTGATAAGTTGAGTATACTAAAATACAGTAAAAAAGACCCAGATTTCTTAACATCCTTCCTCTGCATAATTTGAATTTTTAAGCCCCTGTGTTTAGTACCTAAAGTTTTTGAAAGATATATTTTTATTATGCAGATACAACTTTGCAAAATAATTCCTCATAAAAGCAAAACATGCTGTTGGTCAAACTTACTTTGAATCATCCCTGACCCTAGCCAAATTATGTTCCTATGTTCCTTTACTTACAGCATGTGACTCAATGACACCTCTTATTTTATTTCAGCTTTTTCTTGGAGAAGAATATGTTTGTTTTCTTCTTGAACATCTTGCGTCAGAAGTCTGGTCGTTACGTGTGTGTGCAGCTGCTGCAGACTCTCAACATCCTCTTTGAGAACATCAGTCACGAAACATCACTGTGTAAGGGCACAACTCCTAGACTGGTTAGGATTAAGTGGTCAAGATTTGATTGAATCCCCTTTCACTCAATGAAATTTAGTACTAGTAGCCCCTTGCAGAACTGTATTACTAACAGTCTTTTTAATTGAACCAAAATACAGTGTAAATCGACTCCAAAAATATGAAGAGGATGGAGAATTAATAGCTAGTTTCATGTTCTCCACAACTATCATGAAGAGAAAGTTATATTCAGGCTTGGAGAGTTAGGATTTGGGGAGGAAAAGAGAGTTAAGTGTTATTAACTGCAGAGCCTACATACATCGAGGAAAGTGATGTATATTCTCAGTTGTCTTGTTCTCAGGAGTCTTGGGAGGGAATAATTCCTTTATATTACTGCTTGAAACCATCACATGAGTTGTTTGGCTAAAAATTGGCATTTTCAAGCATCAAGTAGTTTATTGCTAGCTGGTACCTTAAATACAACCTGTTACCATAATGATTTTTTTCTGTTAACCTATCTCTTATTTTTCAGATTACCTGCTCTCTAATAACTATGTAAATTCTATTATTGTCCACAAATTTGACTTTTCTGATGAGGAGATCATGGCATATTACATATCATTTTTGAAAACTCTTTCCCTGAAGCTCAACAATCATACTGTACATTTCTTTTATAATGAGGTAAGTGAAGAAAGTTGCAGTATAATGATAAGTGGACTTGAATTAGAACTTGATGGCAGTGTGGCACATACTCTGTTTAGTCTCTTGTCTCATAATGTCTTGCATTTATTTTTATAATGATAATACCAGTGATTGAGGATTCATTTGTGGGGATCTCTGCAGAAGCCTGGTGAAGAAGTTCTTTGTCCTCATACAACTATAATAAAATAAAAATCTGGAAGTTACTGTTGTATTGAACCAGTTCAGGAATTCTGAATTTTACTGCCCTGAGAATTTGACTTGTTTATGTCTTGTTTTCTTGTGCTTTCGTAAGCAGTTCTTTTCTGTTGCATCAGTTGGTTCTAAGAGGTTTAGTCAAAGTCCAAAAAGCCTGAGTAGTCAAAGGGCAAAGTTGAAATCAGTTTTTCCTTGCTCCATTCTGCTTTTTGCCAGAAGAGGGCACGAAAGCACTGAGTATGTGCTCAGTTATCATGGGAAGCTCTGATGCTTAAAGCAGTTTATTTTAATGCAGAGCTACAAATGCAGCTGACTGTGCGTTGTAAACTCCTTTAGATTACTTAAACAGAAGGTAAAAATACCATATTAATCCACAGAAAAAAATTTTCATACGGAATCCCAACAAATATCCTGTACATGTTTACTGAATAAATGCTTTCTCTCCCCTTGTTACAGCACACTAATGACTTCGCTTTGTACACTGAAGCTATTAAGTTTTTTAACCACCCCGAAAGCATGGTCAGGATTGCTGTTAGGACTATAACTTTAAATGTCTACAAAGGTATGCTTTTTGTATATTAAAAAGAGCATGTGTATAAATCTTGATTTGATTACAGTTTAATTATCAGTTATTTACATTGGAGGGTTTTCTGTCTGTTTTATGGGATTGAGAAGCTTAGCATTTTGACATGCTTCAGATACACATTTTGACTTTTATGAAACGTTATCCCAAACCTACAGTATGTACTTGTAAATGGCATTATTTTCTCACCAGTGAAACTTCTTTAAGAAAAACCCGAGGTGTTAAGCATATACAAGGAAGTTTAACTTCCCTTCCAACAGAGATCAGAATGTGACTGTGTTTAAAAAGTAAACAAACAGAAACCAACCCCCAAACCAAAATGTTTTAAGAATGCAAACTAATTTTTACTGATGAAATTGAACTTTACAGTGTATGAAGCAGTAACCTACATCACTTCCTTTTGGATTTGAAGTGCATTAGAATGTGACTGTAGAACTGCTGGGTGTTGCAGTCACCCCAGTCTAAAGAAGAGCCAGACCATTCCCAGAGGTGCTTAGTGAAGGACCAGGAGGACAGCTGCAAATTCCTGTGCTGGGCATTCCAGTAGGACATAAGGGAAAAACCTGAAACTTCACTGTCAGAGTAGTTAAGAAAGTTTTTAATTAACTGAGAATATCACAGTGATCTCTGTAGAAAAACAGATTGTTTATTCAAAACCTCTACCTCTGAAATCAGCATGCTGTAAGGTAGTATTAGGCAACATGTTCATGCGTGACTTCTTGTTCTTTAATGCATTTTAAGTTAAATTACATGCTGAATTTACACAATGGTTTCATGACAGTCTTTATAGAAGAGTGCAAGATCTTTTTAGAACAATGAGCAATTTGCTTTGCAAATGACTGGGTGGTTTTGCATAGCAGGGTCTTCACAGTGTTGGCTGCAAGGGACAAAATATTTTTCTTTTGTATGTTGAGAAACAGGCACTTGGTACTTGGTCTTCTACTTCAAGGAACTGTAAATTCAAAAATGAACTCACAAATAGAGAAAATTGTAGGCTTCGTGTGCTATTTCTGATACAGTTATACACCTAAGTATTTTTATAGAAAAAATGTCTAGAATTTTCATTGAATGTTGTTGTAGTGATGTAAAGGTTAGAGCTGAAAAAGCACAGCTCAGATGTTCAGGTTTGGTAATTCTCTGACTATCCATTTGCGTATATTCTGCTCTAACACCTACCCTGTATCCTGTAGTTTAGATGCTTTGTGCTTTAGCCTTTTTAACCCTTTTAGAGGATGTCACTATCCCAGTTCCTAATCCTGTTAACTGTTGTCTGTTTCTTTTGCCCTTCCTTCACTGATGATTCCCGTGTTCCTTAATGCAGTGTCATGTAAGTCTAACTAGCTTGACTCTCAGCATTACTGCTTTATTCTTGTGCTTTTTTCTCTTCTTTTTAATAAATAATGTGCTAAAAGAACCTCTCTGAATTCTACTAGATTTGTTTATCTTCAGACATAAGTAAATATATCAACGTCAGGCTCATTCAAGCCAGCTAAGAAGTGGTATGACGTTTGTGTAGATTCCATTTCATGCATAAGATTGTGTCAGGTAATATTCTCATGTGGAAAGCCAGCATGTCATCAAAATTCAGAAGATACTTTGTTGTATTTCTTAAAGAGCAATAAAAAATACTGGCAACTCATTTTTCTTTTCAATGATTTCCCTTCAGTGGACAACCAGCCTATGCTGCATTACATCCGAGATAAAACTGCAGTTCCTTATTTCTCCAACCTCGTCTGGTTTATTGGCAGCCACGTGATAGAACTGGATAACTGTGTGCAGACTGATGAAGAGTAAGCTTTTACAAGTGCTGGGTATTGAATGGAAATGCTATTCCCAGATGCTAAAGCTCTCCTTATTTTGTCTGTAGTAGTCCAGTTAAGTTAGTTTTTGAATATGTTCCCTTGTAGACAGTTTCATTCCTCAAAGCTTTTAATCATTCTGTAAGTTAACAGCTAGTTCTGTGTGCCCAATCTGTCCTAATATCCTTACAAGTAAATTAGTTTTTGGCAACATGCTTTTTCTTCATCTCTGTTTAATTCTGCTAAATTTAGTAGCTATCAAGAAGGCAAAAAAGGTATTTTGTGCTTCCCGATCTTATAATCTTTGTCTTTTTAATATTTCTTTTCTATGTATGATCTCAGAAGAAGATCTTTCTGAAAAGATCCTAGTAAAAAAATTTAAACTGGGAAGATGAACTTTATCAAACCTGACATGGCTGTGTAATATTCCACTATCAACTACAGAAATATTTTCTTGATTCAGGTTATTCTTGGTTTTCCTTGCCACCCCCACCTTGGAGTGGGTGTCTGTTTCTTGCTTTCTTAAAATGAAGAGGTAGATGTTAAATACAACACAGAATTTTTCTTTCATATTTGGGAACAAATCTTACCATTTTTTGTGGTTGGCTTGTGAAAAGCCTCTGGCAGTGAAGAAAAACTTGTTATGTGCATCCTAAAGCACATAAAAGCCTGAACATTCTTTGCTGCTTGCATTAGTTGACTTTGCTGAAACATCTTCTCCAGGCAGCCTGTCTGCACGAGGTGATCTGTGGCAGGGATGCACATTAATTTTTTTACCTGGGTTTTTGTGACTTTCACAATTGCTCATGTGTGATTCTTTCTTTCTGCTCTCTTTCAGGCACAGAAATAGGGGCAAACTGAGTGACCTGGTAGCAGAACATCTCGATCATCTGCATTACCTTAATGATATCCTCATCATTAATTGCGAGTTTTTAAACGATGTGCTGACAGACCACCTACTTAATAGACTCTTTCTTCCCCTCTATGTGTATTCATTAGTAAATCAAGATAAGGTAAGCTAATATCTGCAAACAGTTAATCCTCAGAGGTATTACTTGCTTTCAGCTCAGTGATTTGTTCAGGATGTGTCTGCTGTAATAGGGTTAATACTGTTGATATCTGTGTTTGTGTGTTTTACATGAAACTGCTTAAATAAGGTGACTATAAGGGAAATCCCCTGAGAATGAATTTAAGAGCACAACAGATTCAGTTTTATTCACCAAAGAAGTACTGCTTTGGATGACATGGTGGTTAAAAGCTGACAGTAGTGGAGACAAGAACAACTGTGAATTCAGAACAGGGTTTAAGTTTCTCTGACGCTGGGAGACGTGTGATTTCCTTTTCTGATAAGGTAACCTGTCTTCTGGCAAAAGCAGGTTATAATGCCTGTTCCCATGCAAATTTCCCATGGTGTTAAAATCTGTACCACATAGAAAATACAAAATTTTGATTTTGATATTTGATTCTTTGATTTGCAGAGAAGCTGTGCTGGAATGTGATACAGCTGAATTTATTTTTAAGGCATAGCCATTAAATTTGGTGCAGAACTACTTTTTAATGAAATAATAACTGTCTTTTTAAAAGCTGCACAGCTTTTAGCATTGAGTTGTCTTTAAAAAAAAAAAATTTCACTGTTCAGTTCATTTTTGGTTGATTTTCCCCCTCCTCCCCTCTTCTTGTACTGTAGTGGGTTTGCTTTAAGATCACAATGCTTTGGAATTTCAGCATGCTTTCATTAGATCAGGTTTCCTGCAAGTTAATGAATTCAGTATGTTACATGTGCACTGAAGGTTGAATTAACAGTCAGCCTCTTTTCTTGCTCTTGATAAGACAATTGAAATAGAGTGCAGGAGCTCTCCTGACTTTTACTTTCATTTCAACTATTTTGACTTGTTCCGTGTACAAAACCCTGCTTGTCCTCCTATTATCAGGCAGATGTCTGTTATCATGAGGCTGGAGATATTTTCAATCATAAAATTGGGCTGCTCCTACCTTCTGATGAATTTATCTGGTGATTTTTCTAAAGTATCACTAATTATTTTTAGAAACATTTTCAATACTACTGGTCTATAAACTTGATGTTACTGTGCTGAAGTTAACACTTCAAATATTTTTACCCAATGTTATTTACTTGGTTTAAGAAGTGTCTGCCAAGAACACGCTTTTATTATATAGATAATATTTTGCTGTTTCCAAATAGCTGGTTTTCAGAGCAGATTTTAATGAATGTTAACTGAGAAGTACTTTGTGAAAGAATAGTAGCACAGTGAAAACCAATGTCCTTCTCATATGCTCACCTCTTAAATTTAAGTTACTGAAGTGACCACGAAGGGTCTCCATTTGAAATAGTTCACAAGCAGTGAATGTTAAAAGAGCAGTGCTTTCTGAATATTTTGTAGAAGAATATAATGTTAAACATTTTCAATGAAATAATCAACAGTGGAAATGGCTTTAACTTTGTATAAATAGATCAGCATTTTTGTAACCTTTTCCCATAGGGTGGAGAGCGTCCAAAAATAAGTCTCCAAGTTTCTCTCTATCTTCTGTCTCAAGTAAGTATTTTAAGTATTTGTTGTGTATCAGAATAAGCTTTTTCAGTACTGTTATGATATATGATTTGCTGTATTTTTGGCAAAGTCATTAAAGACAATTAGGCAAAAGGAGGTTTTAACCTTTCTGTTAAAAAAAAAAAAGAAAAGCAAAATGTTTTGTCTTTTTATGGGCAGACAAAATAGGTTCTTACTTGAGTTAATGTCGTTCTTCTGAGGCTCCCATAGCACAGGATAACCTCTAGAGCAGTCCATGACTGTGGATTGTCAGCACCTGACAAATGATGCATAACAGAGTCATGCAACATGTTGGGACAGAACTTAGTGCAATGGCAGGTGAAATTTAGAGAGATGCTTTATTGCATTTTGGATGTGCCTCAGCTGTAAAAGGTTTCAGGTCTGAATTTTCCTTTTTAAAAACCCAAACCCCAAAAACCACCACTACCAAAATCTCACTTTCTCACAAGTTGAATTTCCTTATGCCTGTAGCTTAAATCTATAATTAAGTACTTGTTAATTCTTATTCTTACAAGTTCCCACCTACTTTTCTTTCTGGAACTTATTTTTAAATTAAGAGTGTTACAGTGGATTTTTTTACCGTAGAGAAAATTAATCTTCTCTCTGTAGGCTTCAGTGCCTTGCTGTGAGACTGGTTTTCTTAAATTACTTTCCCTGAATATAGTTTTGACTTGTATTCATAGAATTTATATTTCTTTTTCTTTGAACTTAAGGTTTTTCAATAGTCCTTTTATAATTGTCTGGCCCATAATTTCATTCTTTTTTTTGAGCTTTACTAAAAGTGTGATTTTTTTTTCTATGATAATATAATTTGATACTCCTTAATTGAAATCCTAAAAAATGTAGTGATGTGGGAGTTATTTACCATAGATAAAACTGTGGGAGCAACAGCTTCTTGTCACTAAAGGAATCTGCATCGTAGGGTTGTTTTAGTTGAACTCTTTTAACCTCTTTGATTTCAGTGGAAGCATCGATTGGGTATCACTTCAAGATTTGGATCTATGTTCTTCATTCTTTTTAAAAAAGAAAATGGAACTAGTCATAAAGAATTGAGAACAAGTTCTGTGTATCAGAATGGGATGTGATACAGAAAATCAAGCTGCTGTTTCTGCAACTGGCAGAAACGCATCTTTTTCTGCCTTTTTTAGCCCAAAGTCTGTCTTTGATGGAGTGGGATCTGAAAAACTGCACACTGAGCATCTGACAAACCTTGCAAACTGTTTCTGTTATTGACACCAGGGATACACTTCAGGCACTACTGATATATTAGAGACAAGTGCTTGAGAGACCCGTGCTGGCAAATGAGAATGCACTGCTGGGACTTTTCATCCCCTGTTCCCGAAGCGAACATGTGATGTACTCACACCAAAACAGGCCTGTGTACAGTCGAGCAACACTTTCTGGATTGGCAGGAGCTCAAGTGATTTGGAGGTTCTTCAAAGGATTTTGGAAGTGTGATGAGACTTTCCAAAGCTTTACATGGGTCAGCAGCACATGCCAATAATCACTTCCCTTTTGAAGGTCTGGAATGGTGCTGGCTTGAATCAGAAAACCTGTGGAGAACATTGAGCTAAATATTGTCAAAACAGCGATTAGATTTAATGACTTGGAAATTATTTTGGAATTTTGCAGCTCTTTAGGAATCCAGCTTTGAAACTCCTGTGAAGAGAATTCATATAAGCTGGGAGAAGGTTATTGTGACTGGACCTGAACTGGTTCTGTCCAGAAGCCAGTTGTTTGCTGGCCCACACTTCTGTAAGCCTTGGCTCAGAAGAGAGGAGTTGGTGTAAACAGAGAACTGTTACAGCACCAAAGTTTCTGGAGAAGTGCTTTAATGTTCCAGGCACTATGGCCCTTACCTGCCTTATGTCACCTGCCACTTTGTCGCTAGACCTTAATTTGTTGCAATTTCAGAGCAAGAAAAGCTACTTCTGGTGCAGTTCAGCCAATTGCATGGTATTTACTCATCAATCACCGCACAGCAATTGTGGTCATGGCACAGAACTTCCTGGAATCCCCACAGTTGTTGTCATGGAAGATCTGTGGATGCTGTGCACCATAATCAGTTTGTGTTGTTTCTAAAAAAAATTAATTTCTGGAGCAGTTCCTCTCCAGGGTATCATATAACTTTTATCTCAAAGTTGATAAGGAGAGAGAATTTACATATCTCAGAAGAAAGGAAGAACATGAACAATTGTTAAAACTAGGTGGCTTCAAAGGTAGAGAAAGTTCAAATAGCTGTAAAGAGGATTATGGTCTCCTATCTTTTAAAGTAGATTTAATGAACAATCAGTGTTACCAGTCATACTACAGATAAACCAAAGATACCACTTAAGAAGGTCAGAAGAGTTTGTTCAGTGAGTGAAATTGTGAAATTGTATGTATTCTGTAAATATATCTGATATTTCTTTCCATTCTTCTTTTAATAGGTTTTTCTAATTATACATTATGCTCCTTTGGTGAACTCCTTGGCTGAGGTTATACTCAATGGTGACCTCTCGGTGTTTTCTTCTAAGGTTGAGCAAGACATACAGAAAAACTCAGTAAGTGGCCAACTGTCTTTAATTTTAATGTTTTAGAGGCAAAGAAAATCTTTGAAAAACAAAATTAGGTATTGGGAACTGATAAGCCAAGGTGTGTGTGTTTAGGAGGTAAGAGCAGCAATAGACTTCAGCTTTTGTTGTTGGATCATCATTTTAATGGGACACCTGTAATCCAGTCGTCTGTGCTTGGATATAGAAGGAAATAAAGATTTTCTTCTGAATATTCAAAGTGTTTTGGCAGGAAAGCTGGTCACCTCTGAAAATGTGCATCAGTGTGGTTGTGAGAGTAGAGACCATCCTCAGACAGATGGGAGGGCTGTCCCTCAGTTACTGCCCTTGTACCTTCACATTCAGTCCTGTGTAGATGTTGCTAGATGCTGTTGTTACTGCTTTTTAAGTGTCATGTATATATTTTCCATTTTGTTGTGGGTCTCACAGTTTGTGAAATGCCTATTTGTTACTTTTTAAAGGCCTGTTTTGGGGATAGTAGTAAGAAGAGGGTATGACCTTTAAGAAGCCTCTGACTATAGTTCTGTCTAAAAATGTAGTTCAATCTAAAAATTGAACTAAAAATAGGCCAGTCCCCTAACGACTGGCCAGCAGTTGCTCACCAAATGTTTAATTTATAACAAGCAGTAGATTGGTTCTCTTGCATGTTCTTTCCCAGCAGTGGCTATAGCTCAAGGGCAGATGCTTCAACTCTTCTATCACATAAAACAACTTTTCCAAATTTCTTCCCTCTGTGCTTTGGAAGCTGTGTGGGCAGCAGTAGCTTTTGGGTTCTGGTATTTTGTTCTGTTGACGTGAATATTTAGAATCTATTTTAGAAAAAAACTATAGTAGAATGGTAGAGTTGACTTAATGCTTTAAGGCAATAAAGCAATCCCTTACTTGTGGTGGGAAATGTCTGACCTTCTGCTGGCTGCACACTGAATGTTGTGTGTGACTTGTGCAGAAGCAGCTTTGTTACAAGGAAATTTGTGGCAAGAGGGTGGAGCACCAGTTGTTACAGAAGTGAGATTTTTCTTTTCCTGTCATAGTTACTGTACAGAGTTACAAAATACCTATAGCATGTGTTGTGTGCTTGCACTAATGTCAGAAATATGGGGGCTTCCCTGTAAACTCCTGTTCACCTGTTCTCTTATGTTTGTAATACTGTTTAGGTTGCTGCTTCTTACTGGCCTTAAAGATCTGTCTTCACAGTATGTAAATGGGGAATTCTGTCCTACCTGAACAGGTAGTAAATAGGAGAGTATTGGCTTTCTGCAGTTTCTCTATCAGCTGGAGGTGGAGCTTTGTTACAGAGAGTGCAGAGTGCTGGATGGGGGGAAAAACTTCCATGGGAGAAACTTAAATTTTTAGTAAATTAAACCGTATTCTTTAATGAAACCACAGAGGGGAGAACATGTACTGTGAGAAAGCCCACTGGTGGAGGTTGGTTATGTGCAGAAGGAGTGGAGTGATCTTCAGCAGAAGAGATCCATGCCCTGCTTCCAGGGAGAGGAGCTATCATGTGAGCTGCTCTCTGTCAGTGTGTATGAACAATGCTGCATGTATGGCTTGGTATTTTCTACTGATACACAGCTCAGTGCAGTGAGTCAGCTCTAGATATGGAGGCATAGTCAAGTTAAGGTGAGACAGTTTCTTGTTGCTCTGTGATGGCACTTCATAGAGCAGAAAGTTGATTTTTGAGCATTGTGAGCCATTTCAGGGGCTGTTCTTTGGACCGTAAGGTGTATCAGTATAATTGCAAATTTCTATTGAATATTGGAAGCTATTTCAGAAGTCACTTTAGAATTACTTGTTTTGAAGTAGTAGAGAAAAGTGATGAGTAAGTTTTTTTTAATTTGCATTTTATCTGAGTGTAGAATTGTGTTTATTCGTAAGTCAGACCCAAAGTTATCTTTTACTTCCTTTTTGCTATAACTTCTCATGATAACCACCCTGATAATCTCCTAAGCTCGTTGTTTTGGGGATGTAACTGAGATGTCTTGATATGTTTAAGCTGAAGTGTAACTGGCAGTTTCTAAAACCCAAAGTAAGTAGAAAGTGATATCTGTATTCATCTTCCTATTAAGATGAATTAAAGTGGAATGAGGTGTACACAGGAAGGGCTGAGACTACGAGAAGCAGAGTCACATGTCCTCTTCCTAGCAGGCTAAATGAGTAAAGAACACTTCACAAAAACAACAGCTGAGAAGGACTGCAATTGCTGTGTATAAATGCGAAATATCCTGAGTGATTTAGGACAAAAAGCAGTGGTAGTTGTCACAAAAGGAACAAGTGCTGCTTTTTACTGAAATCAGTTTATGGAAAAAATGACCAACAGCTGTAACTGCTGACATCTTACGAATTGACAATAACCTACCCACAGAGATCTACTGGACATCATAGTGTAGTTACCATTGCTTGACCTCTGCTGAACAGGTTCTCTGCCTCAAAGTGTAGCAAATTAAGACACAGTTTTATTTTTCCATATTTTTTCCCTGTATTTCTGGTTTTTCAACCCTTATCTCACAATAAGAGTTGAATATGTGTAGCCAGCAGAATGTACTTAAACTTGTTGTCAGACATCACACCAAGGTTTACCTGACTTCCTGTGAGATCTGTTTTCCTGCATAATTCAGATGTGGGCCAGTTCTACCCAGTGCATGTTTCTTCTCTAACCTACTTTGCCCTTCCCGTAAAAGGTGTTACTGGTACTGCCTTATTTTACCAGCACACGTTGCACAAGACAAACCATCATTGAAAATATGCTTGAAAGATATTTTGGAAGTGTAAAGTAGCAGTACCTCAAGCTGTAAAATCAGCTTATATAATAAACCATATACTATTTAAATGAATTTGAAGTCTGATTTTAGAATGGTTTAAATACATAGCCTTGTTGTGTTTAACAGAACAGAATATATGTGTAGAGGGGTTTTTTTTTCAGCAGTCTTTCTTTATATGGAACAGACCATGACTCAGTGCATATCACTGTCTACTGGTCTCTTGTGCTAGTTTGCTCATGTGGCCAACAGCATGTTAGAAATACAAGGATGTTAAGTGCATACATTCTGCATTAAGAAAGTAGCTAAAAGATTCTGGGCAGCAATGCAGAAGTAAGAACTGAATGCAGAAAGGGGAAAATGCATTATGCAACTTGCATGCTACTTTTCTGTTTCTTTCCCTGAAGAACAGGACTTAAGGTGTTTTTCCCTTTCCTTACAACCTTTCTGACCAGAAGCCACCAATAAAAGGTAACCTGGTCATTTTATAACCTTCCTGTGTTGCAGTTGGATAAGACTGACAATTTATCAGAGAGGCAACTGGGGGACATGTGTACTAGATTTCATATTATGGCGGTTTTTTGGTCTTGTAGGAAGTTCCTCCTCCTGTGTGGTTTGTTTCATTGCCAAGTGTAAGGTGACTTATGCAAGATTTCTATAAAACCTTTGCAAAACATCAGAAGGCTTAAAGAATCATTTTGGCCTTTTAACTTGTAGACAGTTTCTTCTCTGATCTTTCCCTAATCTCTTGGTTTTTATGTATAGATGTTTATTATTAAGTGGAGGGAGATTTTTCCAAACTTTTTCCCTGAGGTCTCTTCAATGCACTCACCTTCAATGCTTATTGTACTTGAGTCACCTGAGGCAAAGAAAGGAATCAGTTTGGTATTTACTCTAGTCTTACTTCTTTTCTCTTGCTCTAAAATCTTAAACCCTTTAGCCAGTGTCAGCTAAATGTGATGAAGTGTTAAGCTCTGAAAGGTAATGGAGTTTCTGTAGCAGTCTTGTTTAACATAAACCTGTACTGGCAGGATGCCCCCAGTCCATGTGTTTCACTTCTCAGTAAGAGAGATTTGGCTGATCAATGTTTTTATTGTACTCTGGTAATCCAGCTGGCAGGCCTAGCAAAGTGAGAAGCGAGCTTAAAGCAATACAGCTCAGAAACAAGCTGCAAAATTGTAGAAACCCAAGTTTTGTTCTAGTCCTTCTAATTGCAAAACTTCTTGTAGTGTCTTGGTCTTTTTCTACAAATTCTACATTGTTCTGTGTTAGGATGGCACAGGCTCCTGGAAATACTTCATTTCTTCTGGGAGAAATTTGTCATTTAAATTTAATTCCTGGCTCTATAACTTAATAATCGGGAAAATTAGGTATTGATTAAATACTGTTTGCCATCTTGTCCAAAGCCAGTGATAACTTTGGGTAAAACATAAGGTAAATTAAGTCTAACAAATGAAACTTCTTTTCTAAACTCGGTAGGTCAACGTTTGGAGACCCAAAAAGGGTTGGTGACGATGTCATTTGTTTCTAGTTGATACAAGGATTAGTTTCATGTTGAGGGAAGTGTAAGACTCAAAACAAACAAACAAAAAACAAAAAAACCCAAACAAACAAAATAAAGCTTGTGGCATAGAGCAGTAGGTTTTGTCCTTGCTACTGCCAAAGACCTTTAAAGGGTGTATTTCATATTAATATGCTACTGTTAACACACACTTTGGATTTTGCTGCCTTCATCCTTTTCACAAAAGGTGTCTTAATTATATGTGTACTGTCTATCTTACCTGTTCAAAGAAGGGGAAAACAATTTAATAAACTTCTATTGATGAAATAGGTAGTTCTGTGTCTTCTTGTCTCAAGATGGCATCCTTTCAATGATAAATCTTTGGGGTATTTTACTTTGGCAGTGTGTACTACTGATGATTTGATACAAGTTGCTTTTTTGTATTTTAAAATGGATTTGAGATTTGTAAATATTATGACAATTTACAATCTAAACCCCATCTTTTGTACGAACTGAAGTTTCTTTATGAATAACAGTTAAAAATGGCTTGATGTAACTCAGTGTAAACTCTCCAAATTTACAGGCAAAGTCAAGTATCAGATGTTTCATCAAACCAACAGAAACACTTGAGAGGTCTCTTGAAATTAATAAACAGAAGGGGAAGAAGAGGATGCAAAAAAGACCCAACTATAAAAATGTTGGTGAAGAGGATGAGGAGGAGAGAGGATCTGAAGATAACCAAGATGACCTTGATAAATCTAAAGGTACAGAAGCAAGTTCAAAAGGCGTAAGAACAAGCAGTGAAAATGAAGGTGGGTATACCAACAAATAAAAATGATGCTTACAATATAGGTACTTTTATTTACTGTACAGACCTAGTTGTGATTTGTTCTTGTAGTAGTGCATGGTAACTGAGCAAACATCAGAAACTAGTATTTGTTAGACATAAATTGAGAAAACTGTGGCAGAATGGCATGCAAGCAATTGAAAACGAGTGTTATGCTTGGACAGTCCTGTCCAAACAGGGTTGAATTTAGGTTTAGGTAAGCAGTCTGTTTGAGAAGGCTTTCCTTAAAGGGTGTCAACTGGTGTGTTGTCTACCATGATTTGAGGAAAATTTGAAATGATCTACTGTTTACTCTGGTGCATTTAGTCATCATCTTTGTCCAAATTCTTAAGCAGAGGCTGGATTTGGTCCTAATGGTTCTAATGAAAGTCAGGTTTGAAGCACTGGGGCCGAGGTGTGCTGTTTGCTGTTATTGTAGAGGCCTCTTTACACCCTCCTTGAAACTTGATGTCCACCCATGCCCCAGTCTCACCAGCATCCTCACAATGAAATCTTTTTAGCAGAAAGAGGTTCTATGCTCTTTCTTCCTGTGGTTTGTGGGGAAGGGAGCTTACTGTTGCTTGTTTATTTACCAAAATGATATCTTTGTTTTCTTTTACGTATTTTATGTATATGTTTACAGTTCTTGTAGCATCAAACTCCTTAAAGAAATGTGAACAAAATTCTTTATTGGAAAGAAAATTTACCTACATCTGTTCATTCATTAACCTTTCTGAGGTGGTGGTTAATACCTCTTGTATATAGATGCATCAGTCACTTCTAATGGCAAACAGAAAATACAGAAGAGTTTGTCATAACTTTAAAAATATCCAATTTTGGTGGTGTGTTTTGGTTTTTTTTAGAAATAGAGATGGTGATCATGGAGAGATGTAAGCTGTCAGAGCTGTCCATCTCTACTGTGACAGAACAGAATACAACAGATGAAGAAAAGAGTGCAGCTGCTTCTGGGAGTGAGATAACAAACTGGAACAGGTATAAAGGAACTGTGATATATTTTGCTGAATTGTTTCCTTCCTTGTCCTCCCCTTGATTCTTTCACTTCTCTTAAAGGATGTTTCAAATCTGCTTCCAGTTGAAATTACAGGGTTCTTCTGCATCACATATAAGGGAATCAACAGAAAAGTGGGATGTAGCCTCTCTGCTCATCAGTTTCACAAATGATCCTGTTCCTTTGCAAAGTTGGTGCTTTTCTTTATGGCAATTGTGATACATTAAGTTGGTCAAGTTAAATTACAGAATATTAACACAACAAACCTATAAATACAAATGTTTGCATTCCAGAATTTTCTAAACCTCTAAATTAAGTCAGAAGAAGGTTTATTAATTATATTTAAGGTCACATTTGTCAGTTTTGTATGCACCTGTAGGGAAAAAAAACAAGGAAAACTCTTTAGTTCAGGGCTGAATTTGACAAAATTTTAGTGGTGGTAGTTACACATAAACCCTTCTAACCTATGTACAGTTTCCAGGGTCCATTTGTGTATCTTAAGGGTATTGAAAACTTCTATTGAAAATGCAGTTTTCAAGTGTTTCTGGGAGCAGAAATCACCCTGACTTAAAATTTTTAACTTGGATATATTAAATACATAAGACACCTTCACAGTAAGGATTTTGTGTTCCTGTTAATAGGATGTTAAAGAAAAGAAACCAAATGTGCTGTAACTGACACAAAAGTAATTGCAGATGTGTCTGTTGGGGAAATGCACATGTTTAATAGCATTTTAAATTTATTTTTAAACTTGGGAAATGCTGCCTTGGTATTCCCAGAATTTCATTCTGTCTCCATTATAGCTTTGATGTACCTTAGATTACATTCATTAATAAAGATAACATTTCATTTCATTGTAAAAGTGAAATTGAACCTTGACTTGAACTGGCTTTAAAATACATTGTTCTAGATTATTGATAATTTGACTAAAATATGTGCCAAATGGTTTTTAGAAAGAAATTGGCCATGACTGCATTGAATACTAAAGTGACTGTGATGCTCTCAGGTCTCAAAGTGCAAAATCCATAGGTGTGATGCATTTGGCAAATGTCTGCAGTTCAGGACTCTCTTGTTCTGCAGATATGATCTCACAGCATCCTGCATCTTTCCTAAAAATAAACAACATCAAAGAATGTGCAGAGCTAAAAATATTTTTGGAATAAGGATAGACCTGTGTAGTGCAATTCTGGCCTTCGTTTTGTATGTGAATTTTTGGAAATACCAGTGGATAAGCTACTATGGCTTAAGATCTTGTGTTATCTTCTGTGCCAAATGTAGTATTAGAAACAGTAGCTGAATTTCTCAAGGGATTGGCTTGAGTGTGTTCAGTTTCTGCCCTGCACTGATTGAAGTCACTGAGTCTTGTGGATAAGGTGCCATGTGGCAGTGGAAAATGCAGTGAACTTTATGCCATGCCCAAAGTGAATCTTCCCTAACTGGAATAATCATTCATGACTGTTGGTGATAGTGATTCCCAGTGTACTGTCATCTCCACAAGAACAAATAATTTGAAGAACACTTGTATGGCATTTGATCTGCTTCTTCTGTCAAGTTGGTAGTAAAAGTTGAGTTAAGGAAGAAAGTTAAGTTAACAGAGTTAAGAACTACTTATATTCGAAAATATTTACAATATAGACTTTACTATTAAAAGTGTTTTTAAAAATAGTCCAATAGTTGTTGAAAAATAAATGGAAAACATCACGAATGGGAGTTAAAACCCTGTAACTCTAAAAGCTAAGTCAGGTTTTCAGTCCCTTAGCCCTTTTACTGCTGTGAAGAACATAAGAGACAGCTGAAGTATTTTAGGTGGAATTTTATTTTGATGGGCCTCACTGCTGGAAAGTTTGAGCTTAAAGATATGTTTTAAATTAACTGTCTTTTACAATATGCTGTACAGCAAAGCCTTTTTCCAGAATGTGAAATCTTTGTGCTATGTTGTGGCTTTGGTTGCTACTTTCTTTCAGCTGAGTTTTTCTGGGTCTATCATGTATTTAGTCTATTTGAGGACTGTTGGTGAGTGGGATTCTTGGAAGTTGTTTTGACCTCAGCTTATTGTGACTGAGAATCTGGTTATGCAGATAGAGAGATGCTGTGAAGAAGCATCTGGAATGAAAATTATTTCTCTTGCTGCTGTAATTTTTTTTTTTCAAGTTATGTAATTTCACAAATCTAATTGGTATGCTGCGGTAAACAATGAAAAATGCATTAGAGATTACAGAAATCATTTAATACCCTGTAATATTGGTGTTATATGAACAGCTACTGATGTTTCAGCAGCTTTGACCTGCTGAAACCCCTGTGGGGTGAGAAGCCCCCAGTTTGAGGGTGACGTGAGGCTTTAGCGCTTGTTTAACGCTCAGGAAAACTGAGAGTCCTCTTGGTTTGTTTTCAACATTGCTAATTATTTAGGTTGCTTTTCCTTGAATAGTTACCTTATTTAAGATCTACAATATGAGGGAAATTTGGCCTGGGCACAGAGGGTGTTGACCTTGGGCAAAGAGGGGTCATAACTCGGTGGCGTTTCTAGCAGAGGATGATTGTGGTGCAGCTTCAGAAAGGCACGATGTGCTGCAGTGTCAGGAACTGAGCAGAGGAACAGCATGGTCTGTTAATCTGATCATTGCCTTGTTTCAGTAACAGAGAACATGGTGGGGAAGTGTGTGTGGAGCTGACGGGAAGGTCGAGTCCCTTGTTATGACTTGGTGGCTTTGCACATTAAGTGTGGCCGTGATGGCGCCACAGGAGGTACTGAAGTATGTTGTGTTCTGGGCTCTGATAGCCCTGCTGACCCTCAGCTGACCACAACCAGGAGTTTGTAGTGGATGCTTCTTGTCTGCTAGCTCTGAAGACAGGAAAATGTATTTGTTTTTATGACTTTGATGTTACTTTAATGTATTTTATTCAAATGTAATTTAAGTAATGTAAGGTCGGCTTTTTTCCTTTCCCTGTTAAAAAATACTTCAAAAGATAGGGAATTAACTCTTTTCACTCAAGTTCTAGATTGTCATCTCTGGGTGACTGTGACACTTCCCTGATATAGGGTTTGTGTGTCTGGACCAGTTGTGAAAATATACTGAATTTTCACTTGTGCACTGAACTGGTGCAGCTGATTGGATGCAAGCCAGCTTAAGACAAGAAACCAAGCTGCCTTGCAGTCAGGCTTGTGCTCATATCAGCTGAATCTCAGCCATATCTGATCTGTCCAAACGGCTTCTGGATTACACTGACTTTTGTGGTCTCTTCAGGGTACAGGTAAAGGGTGAACTTGGCACTTTGTAACTTCCTGCAGAAGTGTCATAGGTCACACATGCTTAAACTCAGAAAAACAAAGCTTATCTGCAATCCAAAGCTTTCTCTTTTTCATTCAGATGTTCCCTGCTTGTTAATTTTTCTTTCCTGTAACTGCTGTTGATTGTTTCAGAACAATCTGGCTTCCTCCAAACTTCTGGTGAAAAATGCTTACTTGTAATAGAACTTTTCGGTTCTGTTAAGTACAGGAGTTTGGAGATATTCTGTTTCTTTTAGGCAACAGTGAGAGCAGCTCCTTGAAGTGACTTAGGGATACACTTAGAACAAGCTTTACAATATGTACTAAATGTGCCACAACCAACCAGTAAATGTTTGAACAATCAATTCCTGGCAAAGTATTATGTAACAAATCCCGTTAAAACATCAGAATTATTGGCAGATTGTAAACACAGGGCATGGCTATAATCTGAGTACTCTGTAACAGAAATGTTTTTGATACCTGATAATGTGCATTACTGTAAATTTGCCTCTTCCATTAGGTACATGTAAAATAAGATAGTTACCCATTTTTCTTTAGATATGTTTTTTTCTTAACCATTTTTCTATTTTTTAAATTACTTCTTCCACAGGCCTTTTCTTGATATGGTCTACAACGCACTGGACTGTCCTGAAGATGATTACTATGCCCTCTTTGTGCTCTGTCTTTTATATGCAATGTCACACAACAAAGGTAAGTGCTGCTATGCAGAGTTAACTGCAAGGCCAGGGTTGGAAGAAACTAAATCTCAATATAATCATCTTCTGGTTTATGAGATTGTTTATTGCCATTCTTGAGAACAGGACAGGGAGATCCCCAGCAAGCCGTAATTATGTATTGTCCTAAGAGGTCTTACAGTAACCAGTCTATTCTGAGAAATACCTTGATATTTTAGAGGAATATGTTGAAGAAAAATGGGATTAATTTCCTTATATAACAAGCCAGGGGCAATCTAATTTGCATGGGGGAGGGTACTCAGTCAGAGACTCCTAGTTACAAAATACAATTCCCATTTTTTTTAACCATATATGAACAGATCACTTACTACCAGAGCAGAATTTAAAATCAGACTTTCATCTTTCCCCTTTAGTCACTATGCTCTTCAGATCTATGGCTTGACTTCGATTTGATTTAGATGCAAACAAACAGTCTGAGAATTACAGAAACAGTAAAATAGCTTGGATTTCATCAACCACTTTGGGATTTAAATGCTCTCTTTAAGGCTGAGAATTTTCAGGGATTCATCAATGTCTTCAGTCTTTCTCTTGTTCTTCCTTGTAATATTAATTCAAAGCTAACTTGCCTATTTTCATACTGCTAATTATTATCTTCTGAGAAAACTGCTGTGGTCTATTAAGTGCTTGCCTCAGGACATACTCCTGTTTTCTAATTTGCCTTTCTTCCTTCGCTCCCATGACAGGAATTGACCCAGTCAAGCTGGAGAGAATTCAGCTTCCAGCTCAACATGCTGAGGAGAGAAACTCATATAATCATGTGCTTGCAGAAAGGCTCATCAGGATAATGAATTATGCTGCACAACCAGGTATTGCTTTTCCAGTATTTGTTTTCCTTCCAAGCTGAAATTCTTGAAGCTGGAAAAAAGCCATCTGGGCTCTTCTCTCTGAGGGGAACATGACTGTTTAACCTGCTCTTCAATGAGCAATCTGCACATATGGTTTGTGAAAGACAACTATTGGGTTTATCCTTGGTTTGAATAAACAAAAATGGAGTGATTTTGTGTTAATTTCATGATTTCATCCTGAAATTATGATCTGTGGCAGTTTTGCTTGTAAAAGTAATTCCAGTGGAGAAATAGTCCTGAAAATGATATGGTACCCTTTGCACTCCTTTGTCCATCACCTGTAGGTGGTAGCAATTTTTCCCATGATTTTTTTTTTTAAATCTCAGATTGTATTCTCAGTTCTGAACTGCTTTGCATGTGAGGTTTTTTTCTTCAGCTTTTTTTTTGTGAAATGAGGGTTACAGTGCTCAGTGACCCATTCCATGGAAATCTGACTTTTGTTCAAGCCACATCTCTTCTCCCTGCACTTCCCCCCTTAAAACTTCAAATGGGTGGAACTGGTTTTCCCCTGAAACTGACACATTATCAAATTCCTGATTGTTTGCAGAATAAAATCTAATGTTTGTTTGACTTGCAAGACTAGTCGGAGAGTATTAACTTGTGCTGATGTGCCAGTCAGAGATTAAAAACATGTTTATATATGAAAAGTTTCTACGTACAGCAGCAGGAAAAAGTGCAAGATGAGGGAATGCATTTATTTAAGTAAAGGCTTGTCTGGGAAGGGAAGTGCTGGGAAGGATGGAAATACTGGATTTTTATTACACTTGCTAAATGTTGTGTAGAACATCTTTTCTGGTTTTTGTGGGGGGATACTGCCCTTTGTATCTTTAGTTTCTGGCAGCACAGTGCTAACTTTTGAAGTGGTGGAACAGGAGTTGGAGTCAAAAGCTGAGACGTCAGTCTGTCTCTGGCTATCTTGTCTTAGTGTAGATCACTGAGCTCAGACCCTACATAATTTTTAATATCTTCTTTTAAAGTCCTTCTGACACTAAGCTTAAAATCCCAGTGCATTCTTTCACTCTGTCTTCTCTAGATTCTCAAATCCAGGCTGTATCTGAATCCTTTGGACTTCTTTTAAGGAAAAGCTATACCTTATTAGTATGCTACATACAAAGCTGCCTTTCACCTTGTAAATGTTATCCATGCCAAATGTCTCTGATCCTTTTGTAATTTTAGTGTAATTCACCCTGTGTTGCAGATTAATAAAGGCACTGGGTTTGGCTTATTTTTCAATAGTGTTAATCTTTGTTGCCTTCATATTGCACAGTTCTGCTTTAAATTACTCTTCCAGTTCTTTTTAGCCATCAGCATTGTAAGCCAGCATCAGCACTCATGCTTGTCAGATAGGGTGTGTGACAGAGGAGCAAAGTTTGACAGTTGGAGGAAAAGTAAAAATACTGAAGAACATCAGATAGTGAGAAGAACAATAATTGAACTGGGACTGTTTTGTGTACTGAAATTTTCTTTTCATAGATGCAAAAATCCGTTTGGCAACTTTGGAACTTGGGTGCCTGTTGCTGAAGCAGCTTGTGTTTTCCAAAAACGGCAGCATCATAAAAGATGTTCACCTTGCTTGTCTTGAGGTGAGTATTTTCTTTCAAATTTCCAGTCACAGCATTACTAGTCTTTGAGTCTTGTAGCATAGTTGAATAAATTTGTTTCATATCTCATTGCAATAAGCCTAAATGTGAAATTTGAGCTTCTAGAACATCATTGCACTGGTGGTTCTGTGCAGAGGAATCAAAACCTCTGTTCTGTCCCCAGCTTTGCTGTTATGCTATTTAAACTCATAACATCCCAAGCAGTGTTAGGTTTAATTTTCTCTCTGAAATTTGTATGTCATCCACCTCAGTAATGTAAAGAAAAGTTCTTTTGAAACTAATAAACTCACATAAGCTGTATTTTTATAAGTTCAGAATGTATTCTGTCAAATTTTGGGATGAAGACAGTGTGTGTGGGGTTATTAATAGACAGTCTCTTCTGTATAAATTTTGTGTGGGTTTTTTAATGTGATTAATAAGTAAATTGTGTATGTACTCCCTGAAATACATTTTATCTTTTCCAGGGTGCAAGGGAAGAAAGCGTTCATCTCCTTCGTCGTTTCTATAAGGTATTTATGCAAAATGCTGTAAGAAAAAGTCCTTTACATCACATGGAATTAGAAGCAAGCCTGCAGTCCAGTCTTTACTGGTGCCCAAGGCAGCACTTTTTTTAGATGAGAACTCCAAATTTGTGACAGAAAACAAAGTGTTTTGTCCTCTGCTTTCCTGTCCTTCCCATACCACACTGACATATGTCACAAAAGGGCTTTTGGAAGACTCAGGGTTTATACTGGAGGTCAAGTTAGCAGTCATGCCCCTTTGTTGCTTCTCTTATTTGTTTCATGGAAGTGAGTCATGCAATTAGAACGTGATTCCTGGGATTTTGTCATTGGCACTAATATGAAATGTGTTTGGTTTTGACATTACTTTTTGTTTGTGTCTTATCTGAAATGCTGATACTTAATCTTTTTTTCTTATTGGGGGCTTTTGCAGCTTTTTGCCTTTTTGTGTGTGTGGGTGTTGTAAATAGTGAAAGAATTAAAATGATAATATCGAGGTGTTAACTTCCATATACAGAGCAGTAAATCCATTGGAGATTTCAAGTGTCTGAAATATCTTCCTGGTTTTGTCAGAATTCTTTTGGAGACTGTTTGCTCAATATGGCTTCCAAAAAATAAGTCACCTATGGTGGGTTGACCTTGATTGGCTGCTAGAGGTCCACTCAGCTGTTCTTTCACTGCCCTTCCCCAACAGGACAAGAGAATATCTTGCTGCAAAGATAAAGAACAGAGAGATCACTTGCTAATTACAGTCCTGGGTGAAACAGAGCCAACTCGGCAAAAATGAATTTGTTGCCAATAAAAATAAATTTAGAGAGTGAGAAACAAAGACAAATTTAAAAATAAAAACAAACACCTTCCCCCCAGCCCTCCGATTTCCCAGGCTCAGCTCCACTCCTTTGTTCCTGACTCTTTTACCCTCTCCCCCTGCTGAGTGGTGTGGGGGCGATGGGGAAATAGGGGTTTGATGTCAGACCGTGACAGTTCATCTCTGCTGCCTCTTCTTCCTCACACTCTCCCCTGCCCCTGTGTGGGTCCCCTCCTCCATGGGCTGCAGGAAAATAATCTGTGGGTGCTGCACAGACTGCAGCTCTTTCAGGGCACATCTTCCTGCTGCACTGTGGGTTTGTGCTCCACCATGATCCTCTCCAGGGGCTGCAGAAGAATCAGAGTGTTTTCCATCAGTGTTGCTGTGGGGCTCAGCAGTGTCCTGCAGAGTCCTCCCCTCACAGACACCCTCTACATAACCAAACCAAACCAACACAGCTCCACAGCCCTCAGGTTTCATGGTGTGTTCATGTTCTTGCTTTTGGAAGGGAGAAGAAATTTTTCTGGATATGTTTGAAGACGAATACCGGAGTATGACAGTAAGTGACACCCTTTCTGCCAAATCCTCAAACCCAGATAGAGCACAGAAGCAGGAACAGTTACTGATAGTTACTGAGAACACTGGGCTCTGTAATAAAAAATAACAAAATATGACAAAACATGGGCAGTGGTTTTGTCTCTACTTACATAAATTGTTTATGTGAAATTTCACAACTTCTGATTTAGTAAAACCCATTACTTTCTGAGATGGAGTATACAGAAATTACTTTATCCTGCTAAATGGAACATTGGATTTATTTTTTCCCTAGTTACTAAACAATATAAAAATCTTCCTATATCTGTCTGAAGCCCAACAAGGTCTCAGTTTTGCTGGTGTCACTTTATTTACCAGTGGAAAACAGGGTTGGAGCAAGCAAACGCTGGGGCCTTTGCTCTAGGAGAGGTACTGCCTGTGAACATGTTAATGGATTACTAAGATTGATCTCAGTTCATATTTAACCTGTAAACATGTTTTAAAAGGAATTATCTGTTTCAATTCTTAGGTTAGAGTTCAGATTAAAATGCTGTGGGTACTCAGTTACAGGGTTTTTTTCCCCCAGTGGTCAGGGATTTAATGAGAAGCTGCTGTTTGTCTCTTTGAAAAAGCACAATCTACAGTTGGTGTGTTGTAATAAGTGTTTTAATATGGGAAGCATCTTACACGTATCTTACCAGCCTAACTAATGAAAGTTTGTAGTGAAACATTTGACTTTGAAAGTTACTGCATTATTAGAAACTGGAAAGTTGTTTCTGGAGAGAAAAAGTTACAGGAAACTTTTTCTTGTGATTGAAGTAACCACAAGTTTAAGTCAAAACTTAAAAGCAAACCTGACAAATTTGGGTTTTAGTGTTAGGGAAATACCTCTTCTTCAGTAATATTTTGGAGCTTCTCCCCTGTTCTATCAGTATGGAAACTTCAACAGTGTGTGAGGAAACGATGTACAAATATAAAACAGAGATGGCTTGTAAGAAGCTTAAAGTAGGACAGATGGTATTAAAATTTCTCTGAACTTTAGAATATGCAACAATGAGTTGTATTTGAAAGTAAAGAGGCAAATGCTTATTGTTCTCTTTGGTAATCAATGTTAAAATCCTTTTATAGATTAAACCCATGAATGTAGAATACTTGATGATGGATGCCTCAATCTTGCTGCCTCCAACGGGGACGCCACTGACTGGTATTGATTTTGTGAAAAGATTGCCTTGTGGAGATGTGGAAAGGACACGAAGAGTGAGTAGGACTATTTTTCTTATATTTGTTCATGGCAGAATGGTGCCAAAGTCCTTGAGCAATCCTAGAAATACGAATAATATTTTTCCTTGAAAACTGCTTGACTGAAAGCTTCATGCATAAAATCAGGAAGACATGGTGAAGACAGACCTGTGCAGAGTGTAAGATAATTACCTGTCCCAGTGGAGAAACTTTTAATCTATGATTTCTTGTTCTGGTCAACACAACATGTTCTTGCACTGAGGTTTTAATTTTTCAGGTCATACAGACATCCACATACAGAGGCATTTTGATATTGTCAGCTTCCTTTTGTGATCTGATGTCTCTGTCCATCTTGCAATTATATTCCTGGAGTAGGAATCTGCAGTGGAAGGCTGGCTGGCTTCCTACTGCTCATGTTTCTACACATAGCAAAAAGTTTAATTCTGCTCCAGAGTTCATCTTGCCAAAGTAATTAATGATAGAGATCTTGAGAATGAGGAGAAAAATAGCAAAATATCTATTTTTAGGACTGACACAATCTGTAGAGGTAATGCTGACCTGAATGACAACATCATTATCACCCTTCTTAGGTTAATCAGTTCTTGGCCCTTATCTGGCAGTGTCCTGTAAGCCTTGTAGTGCCAGTAAGTCTTAAAGAGATATTATTGCATGACATTATTATTTGAAAAGTGCTGTTCTTCGGGTTTCTCTGCATTTACATAAGTGTATATGTACATATATTCAAGTACCCTTGAAGAAAAAAAAAAAAATTTCCAGGAATCTTCTGAAAAGATTTGTTTTCATTACTTAGTGTAAACCACACAGCTTTTGTTATCACCGCAAGTTGTCTGATAAAATACAGGGAATTATTTTGAAAAGTATTCTTAGAAAGCAAAAATGCTTCCTGGAATTCTCTCTGAGGCATTTAACAGAAGGATACTTAGAAGTGCACATTAATGGAAACTGACTGTTCCATGGTTTTGATGTGCTAAATAAGGAATAGCTTAACTTCTGTTAGTGGAAATTAAAAAATCAATGCAAATATTCCTGTAGGGTGTTTGGGATGAAAGGGGCTTTGTCATCCACAAGAAGTCCCACAGTGCTTCCTTGTTGATCCTCCTTCCCCAGTCACATTGCTCTACAAGTTTTAGCATTTTCTCAATTCCTGGGCTGCTTTTTTCCAGCTGGGCTCCCTTGCTTTGCTGAATTGCCATGACAGTGTGCTGAACTCGAGGTTTATCTTGTGACATTGCTGCTGCCACTGCAGCTGCTGGGGTTTTGCTGACAGCTTTAAATGAACAGTCAATTCTGAGCATCCTGTGTCATATTTCAAAAAAAAAATTCTTTAGTTTTATTTCACTGGCAAATGAAGAAGTCTCTTACTTTGATTATATTGTGAGTTCCTAGCTGTTAGAGATCAGATCTTTTTAGGCTCTGACTTCTTTCTCTGTAGAAAGTCTCTTAAGTGGCAATAAACTGCAATAAAAGCTTACATGCTTTTGGATTTGTATTGATGTTGCTAACAAACTGAGGACTGTCAATGTTGTAGGAAGCACAGTGTAATTCCCTTTTCATCTGATATTCTCGCTTTTTATTTTTTTCCTTGCAAAGGCTAAAGTTCTGATTTTGTTTCCTGCTCCTGTACATTAATCTGCAGTAAGTGTGATTACATGTTTGGAGATGAGTGATGTTTCTTTTATAGGGAATGTATGCAACCAAAATTGATGCTATCTAGGAGGAAGAGAATTGAAGGGAAAAATAAGTGAAAGCAGGCTGAGTGATGGCTGCCCTCTAAATTAAAAAAACAAAGTAAAAAAGAAGAAACACAAAACAAAACAAACAAATAGAAAGCCCAAACACCTTGTTGGGTTTGACTTTTGGGTTACCAAAAATAGTCCTGCTCTTGATTGAATTTGAAAAGTTTTAAACCCAGTATTGTGAATTTTCCTTGAAGCATCTGGTAGTAAAACTGCTTTACAGTAATAGTATATAATTTCAGTAAATCCACAATCCATTAGAATGCAATCTGCCTAAAGGGCAGAGATCTCCCATTACAAAGTGACCCTGTTCTTATGAATAAGCCAGTGTTAATATCATATTTTTTTTAGATACCCTTGACATCCTTTGCTTCCCATAATCATATTGCCCCGATAGATTTCAACAGCATGCCCAATTCATCTGCTTTGTCATTTCATGGAAGAGCCGGGTACATGACTTCCCTCTCTTCATCCCTGCTGTGCCAGAAGTTTCTGAAAGCACTGCCAGGATGGTGGCTGGCCAAGCACTCACATTGCTGGTTCACAGGAGCCACAGTTCTGTTGATTTTAAAAATAGAGGGGTGAAGGGTTTTCCCTTAAAGCACTTTAGATTTGTTTTTCCTAATACTTCCTGCAATCCGGGAGTTTCTGGGCATTGCAGCTGTTCATGAATTCAGTGCTTTTACTGTAAGGCAGCAGTTAATTTACAGTATGCCACAGAATTGCTGTGTAGGAAACTCTTAAAAAACAAAACACCGGAAGTAATAAAAAATGATTTTTCATTTACTCTACTGAAAATACAGTTCTTGTAGGGGAAGAGGATTATAAATGGTGCCTTTCAAAATGTGGCTAATAAAATGATGATTGTTCTTTGACACTTTTGGTCTTTGCATACCATATGTCATGAATTTATAAATCAGAACTAACTTATTAATTTCACAGAGCAGCTGTTGAAAGTTTCTTGGGCCTGGTGCAGCTTTCAGAATGTTCTGCCCTGGTACAGACCTTCTGAGAATATAAATCAAGTGCTCCAAGAATGATGTATTATATGTGGTTAGTTTTGATGAACACAGCAAATTAAAATGCAAAAATCCCCACTGTTTTCTCTCTAACTTGCAGACATCTTAGCTGGGCTTGGCCAGAAAAGTTATCACTGCTTTTGAGTTCAAAATGTGACAGTCTCTGAAGGCTGGTTGTGTAGGTGTCCATAGCATATAGGTATGGCAAATACAATCAATCTTAAAATAATGATGAAAGAAAAAATTGCCTGTCAGTCACAATCTGTGTTAGTGTACCAGTGTCCCAAAAGCTCTGTTGCTTTGAACAGAACTTTGAACAGAACTTCATTGAACATTGCACATTTCAACTTCTTTCATATATTTTTCTAGCAAAGTTTGAAATTACATTCTACTTTTTCAATTTAAAATGTAGATCTACTGTATGAGAACAAACTTGGGGGTTATAAATGCCAGGATATGCTTGTAAGATTCTGTTAAAATATGTAGTACTGGCTGCAGCAATATTTTAATATTCTTTTCTTTAATTTCTGAAGGCAATCAGAGTTTTCTTTATGCTCCGGTCGCTGTCACTGCACTTGCGAGATGAGCCAGAAACTCAGTTACCACTCACGAGGGAGGGAGATCTGATAAAGACAGATGATGTTCTTGATTTGAGTAAGTAGTCCCTCCATTTCCCAAATAGTCTGACATGGAGAAATTGCTGGCTTTTTTTTTTTCCCCCTCTAAACTGCTTATTACTGCTATTTTTTCCTTTTGCCTGAATGCAGTGCTGGTGTTTTGTGGGAACTGGATGAGAAAGATCAGAGTATCTTGTAAAGAACCATTTTAATATTTTGATGGGCCCGTTGTTCATTGTAAACCTTTAGGGATAGTTGCAAGGTTGTCAGCACTACACGTGAATGTTTGTGTTGGGAGTCAGGGGATTCCACAGAAGGTTCATTCCATATTGCTGTGTGTGCTGCCACCAGAACGATATCTATTACTTTTCAGTGTTGTTTTTCTGCTGTAAATAGTTTTGAATCACTCACGTGTTGTGTGATGCCTCAGACTGCGTGTGAGGCTGTAGGTGTCTCGTGCAGGTGTCTTTTTAATCTTAGTCAGCAGCTCACTGTGTGAAGTTCACTGTCAGCTCAAATTAACAGCCTCAGTGCTTGGTTTCAGGCTGGTAACAGCATTCTGTTAGTGGAAATGTTTTAAATACCATGGCCAAGAGGTAAATCATGATACATTTAAAGCTTTTATTTCTTTACTGAAACTGAAAATGAGTCACAATATACTTAAGTCTTCTTGTTCACTCTGCCAAATATCCAGGCTTTGAAAAAGCAGCCAATATTTCTAAAAAAATGTTTGAGAGTTGTTTATGGTGGAATAGTTGAGGTTGGAAGGAACATGAGGAGATCACCTAGTCTAACTCCCCTGCTCAAAACAGACTCAGCAGAGAAAGCTGCCCAGTGCAACTTGTCGTCATATTTGAGGAAAAGAGAGGAAGCCAAAATGTGGTGCAGGTGTATGACCAGGGACACGTCCTCTAATCTCAACTAAATGTCCTTTGTGGGAACATCTAGGTGGATCCTTGATTTGTTGCATTCTTAGTAAGCAGTAAAGCAGAATATCATCCCTGCTGGGCTATGTGCTGTTGGGAAGGGTTCTTCTTGTCAGGTGGGAGGTGGTGCATTAACTCTCTGCAGCCTAATGCTTATCTTATCTTGGGCCACCAAGTTTTCTGTAAGAGCTTTTAATGCCTGCAGATGATTTCTGGAATTGTGATGACAGTAAATTATAAAATCATTAAAGATCAAGCCCTGAGGCAGATCAGGTACATTTAGACTATCTCCTCAAGTAGCTGTTATATTAGTAAAGAATTCATGTAATGCAATCTTCTCAGGTAAGTGTTGCATGAACATGGTCAGCTGTTTTCAGCTAATGTACATCTGTGCTGCAAGCAGCTGAGGTCTTTGAATTCTCCTTCCTTGGTTGATTCCTCAGACTTGTATTTTTCTTTGAGAAAGTCCACAGAGCTGTTGGATCTATGTCTTGGAGGTGTGGTGTCCAAACTGGCTACAGGCTTCATTTTGCATGAGGAAAAATGAGGCACTGCAGTTAATCTCAGAAAGGACAGCACCTTTCTTTGCAGCAGTGTCACATTGGTATTGAATGGCCTTTCAGCCTGTGGTTCGCTTTAATCCCCAGATCAAGTTTTCAGTTTCAAACTGAATTTTACTGGGCTTGGTATTTTCATCTAAATGTGTTAGCTATGTGATATGTAACTGTTTTATAGCACAGTTTTGAGTATTCTCAGATCAGTTCACTGGAAATGTGTTTAACTGCACTTCCTCTTCTGTTTTTGTCATCAAGGACGATGTAGCTTTTTACCCTTAAGCAGCTGTGAGCCAGAAACAGTCATGTAAATGACCTTCACTCAGTTGTATAAGCTCAAAGGATTCCTGTAACAGTTGCCTAATAAATGAGAAATTTTCCCTTCTGTTCTTTGATAAACTTTTACACTTCTACTTCAAGTTTTTGTCAGATCTAAAATGAAAACTTTCAGCTCTGGAAAGCAACGTCTACCTCTTGAGTTCTTTACCTGAAGTGCATTTTTGTAGTGGGGCAGTTGAATTTGTACAGCAGTAATTCCAAGTATTTTAATCTACTTGCTGTTGTACTAAAATCTTTATAAATATTCACATGGATTTTCTTGTTTTATTCTGTTTCTGTGGCTTGTCTTTCATTGTTCAGGTTGTTAGAATGCCATTGGCACAGTAATATTCAGTAGGGTTCAGTTGCCTACTTTGCCATTTTAGATCTCTGTGATTTTCTGCCTGGTGTCTCAGCTCCTTCTCTAAATAGGAATAAATCTTCCACAGGCTCCTATAGTAATATTTACCAATCCTGTATGGATTTCTTGAGCCTTCTAGGGCTGTGAGAAGGTAATAGCAATCAATCCTCATGTAACTGAATCACGTCCTGTATGTATTGCATTTATTGATTAAACTTGTTTTCTCAAATTTCAAGAGCTCACAGTAAATTCACACTGGATTAGCATTAATTACCCTCTTTTAATTGTGTTAGGGTTCCATTTTTCATCTCCTATCACCCAATCAATTTTGAATGGATCCTGCTGGTAAGGGGTAATTTGTAGATTCAGAGAAATGTTAGTTGGAAGGGACCTCTCACTTGTGGTGTGGGGGTTTTTTGGGGAGGGAAGAGGAAGTTGGTTTGGGGAGGATTGTTGGTTTTGGTTTTTTGAAACTTGAAAACCTTTGGTTTTAAATTCCACAGCCTCTCTGGGTAACCTGCTGTGCTGTATTATGTACAAAGGAATTCCTTGCACCTTCCAACCATAATTTATGGCTGTTGCCTGTGGTTGCATGACCTGCCACTGTGAAAAGCTGTGTGCTTCCACTTGTAGCCTTTATATCTATCCTGCAAATGTTTCTAGTATGAAATATGGTGTTAAATACTTGGTTAGATGTCTGGATGAGTAAATTTAAGTTCCACTGTTTTGTAAAATATTCAGAATACTTTACTTGCTATAAATTGTACTAGATGAGAGAGTGGAAAAAGACCTGCGTGTATCAAGTATGTGAATGAAAGTATCAGTCTGAAGCAAGGGAAAAAGCAAATCTAATTAAGATTAGCAAAGGTCTACTAGAAGTTGTGCCAGTTTAAGGGGTACTTGGTAGATTCCAGATGGTGTAAAAAAGGTGATTGAATCCCTTTTCAAGCACGATGGGTTTGAACTGGAACAGGGGCAGTGAGGAGATACGGGAGGATTTGTCTGGGGCCTTGTTGGAGAGGTCCTGGAGTAATGGTAAAGAAAGGGTATGTTCAATACAAGTGAATAAAATGCAGGGGTAAAGGAAAAAATGTCACCTCATTTAACAAATATTGGCCAAAGCCTGCTACAGTTTGCCTGGAGAGTCTGTGTAATCTTGAAGTTGAAGCACTTCCAGCAGTCAGAATAGCGGGTGTCTGACCTGTGCAAATCTCACTTGTGTCAGGAGCCAGAGTTTCTAATAAGGTAGAAATAATTACCTGCAGTGGTGCAGGACTGTCTCTGGTCTGCCAACAAAACTTTTTGAGACTTCCACTTAGTGAGAGACAGCAGCAATGTTGCAATTTCACTCCTGAGATGAAAGAGTTACTTTTTTACTGAAAGATAATAAAGGTGATAAGAGAAAGCAAGGTGTATATGTAGTACAGTACCCATCTTATATGTGGCTTGTCAGGTGTATGAACCACTGTTGTTTAAAATCTAACTTGTCCTTTCTATGTAGCTATAAATATTATAGGGAAATTTAAAATATTTTTTAAAAAGGCAAACAAAAGCTTTAACCATGTGTTGTCAAAATTATTATGCTTTTATAGATTAACATTTTATGTAATGTAAAACACCCAAACCCAAGAATTCTCAACTTCAGTGATTAAATAACCTTTTTCCTTCCTTTCTTCCTTCAGATAACAGTGATCTAATTGCCTGTACAGTGATAACAAAGGATGGGGGTCAAGTTCAAAGATTCCTGGCTGTGGATATTTACCAGATGAGTTTGGTTGAACCAGATATTGCCAGACTTGGATGGGGAGTAGTTAAATTTGCAGGCCTTTTGCAGGTAAGAGAAGTTGTAGTCTAGGTGCTTACTTTTTCTGAGCTGAAAATCTACATTTTGTGTTGGATAAACAGTAATACCAATATTAGCTTTCATATTTCAGCTCTGTACAATACTTATTTGCTTCTTCAGCTGTTAATCTTTTTTTCTGCTTCCTGCCTTTATTTCTGATTTTCTGAAGAAGTGTACACAGCTTACTAGAAACATACTTGCAGATGAGGTGACTTCCCTAGTATATATTGGGCTGTGTTCGTTTGAACACTGAAGTCATTTCCAGCTAGGATTGAGTCCCAAACACGTTGCTCAGGAACTCTCCAAGAGTTCTTATCTTCCTACGTGAGTAGGGAAGGTGACTAAGTTGCAACTTCAAAATGATCTGTGCTTATCTCATTGATTTCAAAAGCTTTAGGAAGTTTCTCTGATTTGTGTCTCCTTGCCTTGTTTTTATCTCCTGAAAATTTGCTATGTTCAAATAATTTAATTGAATTTTAAACTGACTAAATCTCTCTGAATACCAGTTTCTGAAGGAGTAAATCCAAGGTTGCACAAACTGCAGTTGGGGTTTTTACTGTGGAAACTGTCTTTGTAAGAGCTTCAATGGAACATTCATAGTGTTTTCTTTTAATTTTGATCCTTAATCTGTATTTTTTGAAAAGCTTGCTTTGTCATTCACTCCTTGCCATGTGTTACTCTTTAGGACATGCAGGTGACAGGAGTAGAGGATGACAGTAGAGCTCTGAACATAATCATTCACAAGCCTGCCTCGAGCCCTCATTCTAAGCCCTTCCCCATCCTTCAGGCCACGTTCATTTTCTCGGATCACATCCGCTGCATTATTGCCAAGCAGCGCCTGGCCAAGGGCCGGATCCAGGCCCGGCGCATGAAAATGCAGAGAATAGCAGGTGAGTGGTGACTGTGAAATGGTTCTGGAAACAAGGCTTGTGTGGCATTGCAAAGCCCTCTGTAACACAAGGGTGAGGTACAGAAATCTTGAAAAATGGTGGCCACAGAAAGCTGTAAAGCAGTGTTGAGTTTCAAAGTGACAGATTTTATTGGAGTGAAATATGTGGTTTCGTAGTTATGACAGACAGTTCAGGAACGGATGAAAAAGGAATCCTGTCTGGTTGCCGCTTTCTGCCAATTATTGTACAAAACTCAGCGTTTCTCTTCAAGTGTGGTGCAGTGGTTCAGAATTCCAATGGAAAGCAGATGTTCTGCTGCCCCAGGACTGCACTGGAGCTCAGTTTGCTGGAGTTGGATGGTCTTGATGATAATGCTTGGATGTGGTGATGATGAGCAATCCAAAATGTTGAGTGGCATATCAGCACTAGATTCCTGTGCTTGGAGGAAATGCATGTGAAGACATGAAGGAAAGAGTTGCTTTGAGGAAATAGCAATGATTCAAATATGACTTGAGTATTGAGTGAAGAGTAAATTGAAGCTTACCAGTAAACTGAGTGAACTTGTGAGTGCAGGAAAAGAAGCTTTGAAATATAGGATGGAAAATAAGTGTGCAAATAAAAAGGAACTCAGTTATCAAGGTTACTTGGATAGTCCAAGAACAATAATGAACTAATCAGAGCTGGGACAAACAAAGTCATAGCTAGTATTAAAATTACTGAGTTGGACAGAGAATTATTATAGATGCTTTTAGATTATTATGAATCTGTAGTTTTATACTTCAAGTTTACAAAGGGATATGTCATACTTTTGTGGCTTTCTTCATATAAAAAAATTTAAAGCAAGTCTGAGGGTAATACAGATCTATTTGATACTAAAAATTTTAAGTTGAATGGTAATGCAGAGGCAGTTTTTTGCCAGTTTAAAGCAGACTCTGTCTTTCAATGGCTTTCTGCAGTGTTCAGTTGTAACTAATTAATTGCTTTATTTGTACAGGGAAAAACAAAAGGTTTTTTTATTTTTAATAACTCCTATGGCTTGCTTAGTGCAAGGAGCTTCCTGTAATCCTGTTTGGTTTAGCCCTCCACTATATTCTAGGATTTCTTTAGTGTGAATGTGATGTGGACAGCCAGTGGTAGAACAGGTTGCCAGAAGTGTTCTCTCATTTTCCAATGCAATTGTAACCATAATTAAGAGGTAAATGCAGACAATCACTTTAAAAATCTGGCTTAGTCTTAAGATCCTGAACAAACTATCAATTTTATTTTCACCTCCTCTTCCTTTTATATATTTTTGAGTAACAAAAATTATCAATTGTGATTAAACATAGCTCTCCTGGATCTTCCTGTTCAGCCTTCAACTGAAGTTATGGGTTTTGGACACAGCTCTGGAGGCACAGCCCAACACCTTCCCTTTAGATTCTACGACCAGTCCCGGCGTGGGAGCAGTGACCCCACCGTGCAGCGCTCTGTCTTTGCATCTGTTGACAAAGTCCCAGGTGAGATGAGCATTCACTGACAAAAACTGTATTGTAATTTATATAAGCAGTGAAAAGCTTACTGTAATATGTTCCTGAACACACAAGTCCAGCATGAGGCTTATGGATAAATTTGCTCCGTGGGAAACAAATAACAGCTGGGTGTGTATTCTGGGTATGTCATGAGCAATACTTCATGACAAACCCATGACACAGCTTCCCCAGATGTGCTGAGAATATCTTAATACTTTGCCTTCCTTTACAAACTGAGTCAGTTTAAATCCTGTTTTGCATACTCTAATATTTATGCAACACACCTGTCAGTTGTGTGTATTTCCTCCTTTCCTTTGGTTATGATGATTTTTGTGCCAGATTGTAAAAATAACCAGGATACTGTGAACTGCTTCATCTACCTCAGAGCCAGCAAGAGAGAAGAGGGCCACAGCTTCTCCTTAAACATTAGCTTGGAATTGGGATTAAAGGAATGATTCTAAAAGAATGAGCTCTTGGCTTTTTGTCTCTTATTTTCTGTTTCGCAAAACTGACTTCTGTGCAGAATTTCTTTTCCAGATGGTGAAATTTTCTCATTTTGTCTTGAGTCATTTTAAATTTGAATTTCATACTGCTTGAAAGTACTTATTTGTGCTATATTATACAAAAAGATACTATGTCATTACCCCAATTGCTGCCAATCCTTTCACAGAAGTCAGCATTGCTCTTTAGATGTGATTCAGTGGTTCAAAATTCAAATGCTCTACTTACACCACAGATGTTTAACTGCTTTAAGACTGAATTGGAGCTCAGTTTTCCTGAGTCCTGGCTGGGGAACAGCAATGATAAAACCATAGATATTGCCAGTCATGTTTCTCAAAAGCCAAGTGTGTGTTGTATGATGGGAGTGTATTTCCTTATTTGACGTGACTTCCATGGAAAAGGTGTGGTTGGAAAGGTGTCCCAGAGTTACTGTTTCAGCTTTCTCCAAGACAAGTACCCTTGTGTTCCTAACAGGTGACTTCATCACTAATTTGAGGGGGGGATATTGGAGGTGGTGCAATATTGTAATGTGTTCAAACAAGCACACACTTCCTTTGAATTCCAGGAAATGGAGACTTCCACTTGCAAATCCAGAGGAAAAAGTATTGCAGAGCTTTTGTTTGGTACAAAGTACAAGAAATGGGCCACAGAACATTTAAAGTGTAGCATCTTTGAAGTGCATTTTATGACAACCGATACTATAATAAAAAATGGATTCATATCCTGTTTTACATCTGATTACAAAACAAGAATCAAATGCCTCTTTCTTGCTCATGAATGAATGAGGTTTCCTTGTTCTGAGTGATTTTCATAGGAATCTCTTTGTACTTATCCCTTAATGAGGCCCACAGTGATTTTCACTTCAAGAGGAAGACTTTTTTTGCCTTTTAAAACAACTACTGAAGAAGTTGCAGTTAAATTACTGGCTTCATGTATTCAATTCTTAATTTCTACAGCTTCATCTGGTGCTTAAGAGTTGTGCAAAGCTCATACAGTCAGTAAATTTGGTAGTACTTTTAAGAAACAAATTATGCTTTCTCTGTGGTGATGATGTCCTTTGTAGAGTTAAAGGAGAACTATGTTTTTGGCAATATTTTTGGAAGATTATTTATTACTTTTAGTATGATGTTAGCTGTCAGTGCTGTACACCCAGTGTGGGTTTTAAGACATTAACATAATATAAATGTTTTCAGCTCTTTTGCAAATGTTGGTCTGTGGAGGATATTAATACAGCTGTTGAATCAGTTCCCTAATCCCCCTTGTCAATGAATTCAGAATTTCCAAGAACACATATTTCAGTCTGGTCTGGTTTCTGTCACAGTGCATACATAGAGCTCTCCATATTTCACTCGAGAGTGTGCAGTTACCTTATTGTAGGCAAACTGTGCTTTCTTTTTCTTTATTGTTTCCTGGTCCAAAGTTAAAATGTTTTTGAAAGTGCTTCTTGGTATCTGGGGGGAAGAGGGTGAGGATTGTTGTAGCTCAGAACTGGATTTTGTGCAAGTCCCTTGAAGGGTGATGAGAATATAACAGACCTTGCTCCAGAACATCCCTGTTCACCTGTACGTTTTATGGAGTGTTATCCAAAGGCAGTGAGGTGCTGGAATCATCCCAGCCAACTGGCTGATAAACTGGGCAGTTCTCATCAGAGAACAACATAAGCAAAAGCCTTCACTTGATCAATTTTAACATCATGAAGTCATGGCTATGAATATGCTTCAGGGTCTATTTTAAGTTAATGGCCTTTGCTAGAATGTTAGAGCATTTTAGGGATAGTTTAGCTGGCTGGACTATTCACCATCTGTGTATGAATATGATACTTTTGAAGCACTCTATGTAAATAATTATATTGTTTTCAGAGAAACCAGCAAATTTGGTAGGGGCCCTGTGAATATAGGCCTTCTACTCAAAGTAAATAAATAATGACTTCCTCTCCAAGCAAACTCAAGTATTAGTTTCAAGTATCAGCTCTATTCTGAGATTTATGTTCCCAGTGTGTCTTAAGGGAAATCTTAATGATTTCCAGCAAAAGGTGCATCTAAATATTTTAACAAGTGTGGTAGCTTACCTACTGAGTAAATTTATTTTGAAAAGCAAAAGGAATCAATAGATATCTCTTACTATTTTATCCATTGTTAAGACCTTAGTATATGATGGTGATGATGTGATTTTGAGGGGAAAAGCTGAAAAAACCTCTCCCTAACATTAGCCATGGCAAGCAAACTATAACCATCTGCATTTTAAAATCTGAAGGAAAAAATGATCTTTTAATACTTTGTAACCCTTTAAATAAAAATGAAAACACAGGCAAGAATTCTTTTTAAAATTTGCTCAACAACTACTGTAGGAAAATCAGATTGGAATAGTTTACTTAAGTGTGATATGAGAATTTGTAATGAGATAACAACGCAGAGAAGAACAGTAAGAGTAGTAGAATAGTAAGAAGAATAGTAAGAAATTGCCCTAGAAGACATTGGGGCAATGAGAATATGGTTTGCACTGAGAAAACAGTTACTACTTTCTTGGCCAAGATTTTATTTCTACTTCTCAGGCTTTTTTTTGTTTGTTTTTGCTCTTCCTGTTTTCTGCCATCAGTGCCCTTTCTCCTCTTTCTCACCTCCATTTTTATTCTTAGGAGAATTTGTTGTTAAGGCTGCCTTTCACATGAAAACTTTTATAAGGCAATAGGTGAGCTTTTTACAGGAAGATTTGAATTAATTGCTTAAGAAAAAGTTCCTTTAAAGAGAAGCTATTTCAGGTTTTGGCATGAAATTTTGCTGCTGGTATGTAAAATACAGTAGGAGGATAGCTGTTGATACATGTTTTAGGAAAGAAAACACAACCCTATGAAAAACTATGATTATGAAAATAAGATCTCCAAGGAACTGGAAAGGCACATCTTTACAGTAATACCTTGCTGATTCTTAAATAGAAAGTTACGTTGAAGCAGAATCATGACTACTGGAAAGGAAATATTTTTGTTCATTAGTAATCTCAATCACAACTTGAGAGTCATAAAGTAGTGACAAAGACCCTCTAGAACCTTCTAAGTTAATTTTCCTTCCTGTAGCTATGATTAATTCTGCTCCCTTTCTCTTTGCAAGTATTTCCTGAAGGAGTTTCCTGATTAGCAAATTTGTTCTTGGTCATCAGTTTCCCAGTTAGAGTATTTTGAATGATTTAGACTTACCTTTCCCTCCTATCTAAATTAACTTCCTGTTAACTTCAAATCCTTCCTCTGCAGCTGTATTGGGAGAGAAGCTATGTTAAGATCATTTTGAAGGAAATGCTCCCTTGTTAAGGACATGAATCCCTGAGTGCTGTTTTGCAGAAGTTTGGGCAGGCAATCCTGCTGAATCAGGGCAGCTTTCCCTGGGATAGTCAGGGCAGACCTTGTTTACTGTTTTCTGCTATTTTGGTGAGGATGGAAGATTTTTCCTCCCTTGAAGTGCAAACCTGTTGTGGGTGTAGAGTGCCTTGGTTGGGTACAGCTTTTTCCAGCATTGTAAGGGAAGAAAAATATCTTGATGTAAGCACTTCTATACCAGTGACTTTAGTAGCTGTTCTTAAAACAAATTTCATTCACTTTAACAGTTGGCTTTGCCTCACTTCTGTGGTCAGAAGTTCACTGATTATTCCTTGTTTCCCCATTCTAACTGGTATTTCAAAATATGAAGTGTGTGTGAGAAACCTAATGTACATCTTCTGTGATTAAAAACTACTGCACTCGGGCCCAGTGATAGAGGAGTCTTTCACGTTTGAGGTAGGTCAGTTTGTGGTTAACTTTTTGCAGACTGTCAGGCGTCACTGTGTGTGACCTCAGTTCAACTTATCTAAATGATTGTAGAAGATCAATCAGGTTGGTTTCTGAAATAAAATACATGAATTTATTTACATTTATGGGTTAATTAGCCCCTCACCAAACTGTTTTGTTTTTCACTAAAATAGATGGCTCCTGCCGTGGTGGTTATTTAATTCTTTCGAGTGGTGTTCATCTTGGACATAATGAATTGAAACTTAAAATAAGAGAAAAGCTTGGTAAAAGTGGCATTCACCCATCTAGACCTATGATGCAAGTACTACAGAAATTCAGGATAGCACTGTGTTTGTACAAGTGGCTTTGAGTGTAGTTCTAGAGTGTAAGCATGGGGGCGGGAGTGCAAATCGAGTCAGATTATTAACAGGACTGATAACTGTTAGCTTTTCTCTGTTCTTTATTGTGTTTTGTTCACTTGTAGCACAACCTGTCAGTGTATGTTGCTGCTCACAGCGTTTTCCTGACTTGTCATTTCTGTTTTAAAGCTTTCAGTGGGTCCTCCGGGGCACTACATGAAATCGGCACCACTTTGATACAGTATTTGCTCTTACCTTTCCCCAGTTTCTTCAATAGGTTAATTCTTTCAAGCCAATAATTAACTTGTAAACTTCACTGTGCTGTTTTGCAGGCTTTGCTGTAGCCCAGTGTATAAATCAGCACAATCCCTCCCCACTCTCATCACCATCACCTTCCAGTGGCAGTGGGAGCACAGGGCGCTGTGATTCAGTGACTGCGAGCTCGACATCCACCCCTTCTGCTGCACAGAGCCCCTCAGGTATTCAATCACCATTTTCAGCCTAGGCACTAAGGGATATAGAGTAGTTCCTTGTAAAATTAAGTTACTGTGTTATTGGATTAAAAACAATGGGGTTTTATGGTTTCAGATCACTTGATCATTCAACTAAACCAATTAAAAGTAAATTGTGGTGCAAATTTTAATGATCTCTTCAGCTTTCTGGAACTCTAATAAATACTTGGCATCTTCCAGTAGTGATTTTAAGTACTGGTGAAACTATGTCCTGCTTGCCTGTCTGCTCTCCTAGCACATACACTTTAGAATGCTGTGGGGTTTTTTTGTTGATGGTTTGTTTTGCTTGTGTTAACTGAAGTATTGCTTTGCATGAGTATGTGATCTAAACTGTTAGCCTTTCACCTTAGTGGATAAGTTGATCTCCATCTTTTTTGAACTGGGTGACATTTGCTTTTGTATGTTCTTTTGATACTCATGTTAATTTGTAGCAGTGGGCCAAATATGAAGTTTTTGGAAAATAGTTATTTAGGATGTTAATATTGTAAAGCTTTTGCAATAACACTCTTGTGGCTGAACACCACCACCTTTCAGGAGGCTGTTCCATTGGTTCAGAAGAGGCTGCAGTATAAATCAGTGACAGTGTAACTTTGACAAATGTGGCCCTCATTTGTTTGCACTGGTCAATATATTTAGTGGGTATGTTTAAACTGGGACTTCTTGTTGCATTAGAACACCTTCATTCCTCCTTTCTGGATAGTGATTGTAGAGAATCTTGTAATGGTGTCTGTTCTGAGTGCAAATTATGTGTGAGGTAAAGCCTTAGACTGGAGACTAAACAAGAAGTGAATGCTGAAGGGTGCAATACTGAGCTGCTTTCCTGCTAGAACTGATCCCCTCTGCCTCATTTGGTTGTAAAACAAAACAGGGAACCTGATTCTCAAGGCCTTTTCAAGCAACCCCCTCATTTCACTGGTCACTTCCAGTGTTGATCACTCCTTGAGAGGGATGTTCTGGTTACCCCTTCTAAGACACACCATTTTGGAAGCCCCAGGTAGATCTAAACTTTATTGCAGTCCTACAGGAAATGATGCAACCTTTGTTAGGCATTTAGTGTGTTCTGTAGCCTTCACTGAACAGTGTCAGCAGATCAGTGTGCATTATATGTTCAAATTGGCTATCCCTGCAAGAAATACTGGTGAAAAGGGTGAGAAAAGGGTGCTTGTGAAGTTTGTGAACAGTAAATATGTAAAGCATTCAGCACCCAGACCCTAGAGGTGCTATCATTTATTTGTCAGAACTCTCAGTATGGATTGGCACTGCAAGAAAAGATTTGTTTGATGACATGTTTCTCCTTAGCAGTGTAAAAAGGCTCATGTGCAGTATCCTTGCTGTATTTAAATCATCTGTGATCAAGGAAATGTAACTACAAGTTCTTGCCAACAGTGGCTAAGAGAAAACTGTGGTAAAGGAAATGAAAATAAAGAATCTAAATTATTTTTGTTGTTGTAAGCAACATACCAGTTCACAGAAATATCAAACAAGACTGTACTACGTTTCAAACTGAGGTCTTTCAAGTGCATATAATCTGGCTTCTATGAAAAAATGCCTAGATTCAGAACACATAATTACTCACCAAGCATAAAAAGATAGTGCCTAATCTAAGAATAAGCACAGACTGTAGTTACCAAAATTACAGTCTACTTACACACTATCTTGGCATTTGTATAGCATAAAATTCTGTTTTTCCTAGAGTTTAAAAAGCCTGATGACAGGAGGGTGGGTTTTGTTTCCAAAAAAAAATAAAAATAAACAATAACAAAAACTCTTAACAAACTCTTCCCTACCCTCCCCAAAACCAAAAATAACCAACACAAACCAAACAAACAAATCCAAAACAAACAACAACAAGAACAACAGCAAAAAACAAACAAACAAAAATACCAGAGGAAGGGTTTCAGTGTGCACTTTACTGGTTGCATTGCATGAACTGCCCACCTTGACCTTCACTGTGAATTAATCATAAATTATGTGTATGCATAATGCCACATGCCATGCAAGAAAACAGTCTTTGGGTGGGGTATGATTTTTTTGCCCAGGATCTGGGCACACTGATGCAGGTGCTTTAGCAAATGTAGCTGTGAAGATACAGATCTGTGTCCTACCACCGTGAGCACAGTGACCTTCAGTAAAGGCAGAGGAGGTGAACATGAGAATGGGTGTCAGCTCCTTCAGTCTGGGGTCAGCAGCTTCACTAACCTGCTGCAGGGATGACTTTGGAGCTCAACCCTTGAATTTTGTTCTGCTCAGGGAGCAGTAACAAAGAGGGAAGACAGTGATTGTAGGTGCCTGAGCAGGTAGTTTGTTGCAGTAGGATGATGCACAGGTGGTACTGAGATGGCTCAGGGATTTTGCCATGTATGTGATTGTCTGAAGGACCAGTTATTAGTTCAGGTGTTCATTGCTATTAATATTTGAAGTGTATTTGGTGCATAGTTGTAGCATATGTTATAGTTCGGTTTCCTTGTGACAGAATCTCATTAATGCACAGAAACTGTTCCTAAAATCAGACCAAAGCATTAAGTGTGCAGGATGCTTCAAAGGTCTGTTCCAAACTGCTGGTGTAGTTGCAACCAATAATGAATAATGTTTTAAATAGCTGTAGCTGAGGGGGTGATGGTGTCTCAAGGTCCTTGGTATAAACTAGAGAGAATTCTGAAATCCCTGGAGGTAAGTCTTTTGGGGGTTGGGATGTGGGGAGGATTTTCCCCAACCCAAGGTGCTCTATTGACACTTTTTGCTAATCTTCAGTGTCAGATCAATAGTGCTTTCTATTCCTGGGAACAGTGTTTCTGCATTCACTGATTTGACTGGTTTACTGCTAGTTTGTCATTGATGTTCTCCCTTTTATACTATTTCTGTGTAATCGAGATCTGTACCAGAAACTTTCCAGGAACACAGTCATGAAAGAGATGATCTCCTTGGCATTTCCAGATAGGCTTCTGCATGAGCAGAAGTACTCTGCTGAAATAAGTGACAGTGTCATCACTGTGTGTTGTATCAGGTCTTACTGACCACTCAGCTGGGATATGGAAACAGTTGTTGGTATTTACCCACTTCAGTGCAAAACAGTGATTTTCCCTTAACCATCTGAGGACAGTTGGAACTAGCCTGCCTTACTTGGCTGTAAGCAGAAGAGACTTGCATGATGTGAAGTGGCTCTTTAGAGCAGCAAGTAACAAGTAGCTGATGAGCAGCAAGCAGTTGCCAACAGCTGTTTTATGTCCCAAGGTAGCACTTGAATGCTACCACCGTCTGTCACATTTGAATCTCCCGTCTCATTTCCCATTCCACTTTAAACACACTCACACAAGCACATGTATGAGCTCTCTGTCCCTCCCTCCCTCCCTGCTCCCATGTTTGTTCTGGCAACTGCTGGGGTTGTTGAGCATGAAGAACATGCTGAGCTGCTCAGGAACTCCAGTCAAGAAGGCCAGACAAGGTAAAGGGGAGATGGGTATTTGGACTTCAAGGAAACTACCTCAACTACCTTCCTTAAGAGCAACATTTTAAACCACACAGCTTTTTATACTGTAAAGTTGTGATTATAGTGTCCTGAACTAGTCTGTTGACAGTTGCTATTGATTTAAACTGTTCAGGGTTTGATATATTTGAGGTGGTACTTGTAAATCTTTGCAGAGTTGTTTCAGGAAATAAGATTTGGAACATACCCACCAACTTTAACATAAAACAGTGATAGATGAGAACAAAATAAAGACAAATTGCATGTCAGTTAAGAGAAAACAATGTTAGAACATAGAGTATACATTAAAGATTAAACAGCAAAAGAGCTTTCAAAAATGCATGATGGGGAAAAAATAATTTGGTGTTTTGTAAGAATAGGTTACTTGTTATCACTCCTACCTACATCAAGCAATCCCACAGTGTTGCATTAACTGCATTGTCATGAGTAAAATAAACTCTTATGATTTTTATCATCTATCCTACCTAATAATTGTCACACTGTTTTATGGCACACATATTGTAAAACCTAGCAGCTCCCCCATTTGTAGTATTTGGGAATTAATCTTAGCCCCTTTAAAAGATCACAGTTCTTTAAAACCGGAAAGTCGGAAGTCATCCCATAAAGAAAGCAGAATCCCTAATGACAGAAAAAAACAGTATCAAGTTCTGCAAGTGCTGCTGTTGGTTTGGGTTTTTCTTTGTATTTACATTATTTACTTTTTTTAATGAACGTGTCCTTTTGAAGTATTGCTGTGCATTAAGTAGAAATGCTCTCTTTCTAGGCAGATTTTAGTCATCAGATTTCAGAGCTCAGAATGCAGTCACGTCTTGGCTAACCTTGCTGGAACCGAGCACTCCCTGAAAGTGCTTATTTTATATATGTCAAAGATTAGATATAGAAGTTCTCTTTACTGTAAGTTAGCAGCCTTCTAGAATTACAAATGTGTTAATGTCATCTACACTGTATTTTATTACTTTTTAAGTTGTCTTAACTTTAAAAAGCAATTGGCTTCAGTACTTATGAAAATGTTTACATTGGAGCAATGGATGTTGAGGACTTCATAAGGCACTGATCTTCTGTGCCACTTATGCTGTATTTCACACTTCTGGCAGATATTGATGATAAAAGACTTAAAATAAGTACAAAGAGCTGTCCCTTGTTGCAGTGATTCTATTAGATTTCGGTCTGTAAAATTAAATTTTTATTCCAAGGAGGGGATGATTAATGAAGCATGGAGAAGCCTGTAAGAGCAGTGCCTCCCATCCTATTGAAACCATCCCTGTTTCTTCCCTCATGATCAGTAATGTAAATGTGATTTGATCTCCTGTTCTATGATGGTAGTAATTTTTTAACTAGCTGAGGAAGTACTTTTGTTCTTAGAAAGTTTCTTTTCTAGGAACTTTCTATGCACCAAGCATCATCATCTGAACTGCTGCTATCTTTTGAAACAGTGTGGTTAGCTTTAATATAGTCATTATAATTCTTTTAGATGATAGAATTGTAGGGCTGAATGGTCTGCAATTTTCTCACCTGCACAGTACTGCACCTCATATAATTTATGGCCAGGGAAAGGGAGAATAATTCTATGTCACCAGAATTTGTGATAAATAACTTCTCTCGAGGTTTTTAAAGCATATGAGGAGATTGGAATGCAAATAAATGCCTGCCAGTCCCTCCTTGGTGTAAGTGCTGCTGGTATTGCCAGACACAGCCCAAACTGCATTATGAACCTTTCCAGATAGGGAAGAAGAAATTAAATTCAGTTAAACTCATTTATTCCTAAAGAATGAATACTTCCAACTCCAGAAGTATTTCCCAAACTTAGAAAGCTCTTGGTGCGGTGTCAAATTGTATCCCAAGATACCAGCAGTTCCGGATGCGTCCTTGTCACTTATACTTGTTGCTGCTCTAACATTTATCCTTTGTCTTCATTCCAGTTTCCCTTCCCTGTGTCCCTGTTAAAGCCTGTGTATGATATATCGCTGTGTTTTCCTCTAGTAAGGTCTGGCAGGAAAGGACGCCGGCGGGTGTTTAGTCTGTCGGAGGCTGACAGTCACGGCGGACACTGGGTTTAGGTCTTCGAGCAGCAGCTGCAGCAGAAACTCCCGCAATACCCACTCAGGCAGGTTCCTCCATAAGCTTTCACAAGCCCATAACACTCACTAGAACATAACTTGGTTTCCGTGCTGACAGCAGTGACAGTGAGGTAGGAAACTGAAGAAAGAAAGCGTCGTGATTTTTGTCTCTGCGTTTTGCTTTGGGAGAACTGTAAAGCAATATTTCAGCCGTTTCTGAAAGCCTTATCTGCAGTTTCTCCCACGTCTCTCGGCTCTGGTGCCAAAGGTGGAAATTGTGCTATCAAACCTCCAGCTTCAAAGCAGCCATGTCTTCATTTGCACAGGGCAGCCCTGGCTGTAGTGACCTTGAGTAAGCACGGGCTCTGAATGGACAGTAATGCAGGTGCTTGGCCGGCAGCAGGGAATCTATTCTAGCCCAGGTAAAATGGACTGAATTCAGCATAACTGAATGGCCCCTGGACTCTGATGGCACAAGCTTAATGCTTCTGTGGTCATCAAACTCGGGCAGGTGACTTTATGGACTGTTTAATTGCCTGAGGAGGGGAAACACATGCAAAAAAGATGGAAAATACACTTCAGATGACCTACTTTTTTATATAACCTACTTTAACTTGTATCTAAATAATTTCTTGTTTTTACTGTCGTGGCATGAAGATACTTTGTTGATATTATGTAAACAGCCTTTTTCATCTTTATAGATTTAATTTGCATCTTTTCACTTAATGTCTAGTAATTTATGTTTTCATTATCCTTTCCTATTATGTTACTGTACAGATTAGAACACTTCTCTGTAGATGATATTCATTCTTTGCATCTTCTGTTCTAGTCTGTCTTTTTTCACTAATAATTCTTCTAAACATAAGTTAATATAGCAGAAATTGATTGATTTGGTGTGGATTTTTTTTCTGTAATGATAACCTTTGTAGCATTACAGAAGTGCTGAAAAACATCTAAGGCTGTTGAAGCCACTGGCTCCAGAGAGAGCTAATAATACCCCACAATTTGCAAAATGACACCCTGTTTTCAAATCTTGTTTGGTGCTTAAGTTTGCAGGTATGTGGGAGGGGTTTGTTAGAACTAAATGTCCACATCACAACCATGTGAAGAAACTGGCTGCGCTCTTCTTGGTATTGTTTCAGATCTGGCTTATATTTTTTGCCAGAACACTCTTGCTTGGGGAGAGATAAATAAGAATGTTGTTCTCCAGTATTAGATTATTTACATCCTTCTCTGAGTTGAGCATGACTTCAAATGGCTTTGAAATTTTGAGCCTCACAGATTTTCTCATTAGTAATTATTGTCCTGAAGCCATTTATTCAATTAAAAATGTTTTTCCATCATGAGGATTGTTTGATTTTTTTTTTCATTATAATGTCTCTTATATACCAAATTTTCATTCCAGGATGCTGGATCTCTGTCTTCCTTTGTCTGTAGTCTAGAATTGTTTTCCTCTAGGCTTATATCCACAATATATGAGATAATCACGGTGAAAAACTTACTAGCACGAACTTGTAGTCGCATTTTCAAACCAATTGTACACCTAAAGTAGCCTGTGGGCTTGAGAGCATTTTTTGATATTTTTATCTTTTTTTCATGAATGTTTTTTGAGACTTCTGTATGGAAAGTTTGGGCTTGTTAACTCCAGCTGCTTTTTTCTTTTTTTTTTTTTTTTTGTGGAGGATTTTTGCAAATACTCTTTGTGAAGTCAAGAAGGGAGTCACTTCAGCATTGATTTAGAACCTACGTGGAAGGATTTGGGGTCAATACAGCATAACAAAGGAATATATATGTCTTTCATGATTTCAATAAATGAAAGTATTGAGAAAATATATTGATATTTTATTGGGAAAGGGGGAGGAATTATATAAGAAATGAAATACAGGATCAGAAGTGCAATAGCAGAACCACAGTAGAGATGTGCTGTATAGAACATTCCTGAGCAGAATGCCATTGATTGAGAATGCTTTATTTATCAGAACGCCTCAAGTTTCTGAATCCTGGATTTTAGTGAATATTCACACTATAGTAAGAGTAAAATAAAAAATAGTCTTGGCAAAGACCATTTGATATCCTTTTAAGGTTTTATAAATTCACAAAGTAAAATCACCACAAAGAGACACTCTGTTTTGCGCATCCTGAAATGGTAGCATTTAGCTTGGAATTCAGAGAACTGAGGCTGTATTTCATTGTTTTAGCAGTTCATTTTCCATGCAAGTCTTGCATCACTTCCTCTGTTATCAGTCACTGCATTCTCCCTAAAGCTTCTTGACAACTGAAAAGAATCTGCAGAGTTACTTTGAATCTGCCCTTACATTTCAAAAATAACCAGTCATGTCCCTTTTATTTAAAAGGAGACTTTTTTACGGTCTGTAAATTTTGGTTTTGTCAAAACAAGAAGCTTTAGCCACCGATTCAGGAAAAAGTAAATTTGTGTGGTTTCTGAAGTGAGAATACACCATTGTTGGGGTTTATCTTACCAGCAAGGTAAAAAAATAGATAACCTTACTGTTATCCCACTGATCCATTCCATTCTCAGCTTTGTTTGTCTTTTTTTTTTTTTTTTTTTTTTGTCTTATGTTCGTGCTTTCTGTTCTTTTCCAGGAATAATTGGAATCATATTGAAACGGAAATATTTTTAAGGTCACTGTGTATTAAAACCAGAACCTAATTCTTACCTTCTGTATTCACTACATTGCCTTGTAGACTTTGTGCCGATGCCTGTACACTTGAACACATGCTGTTTCTTACAAAAGCTCTAAAACTGGTCTGTCTTGAAGCTGGATATCTGTTACTTTAATGGCATCAATTGTTGTAGTCTGAGAAGAAAAAAAAAAAAAATTACTTTTCTGGGCATACTTGCTCATGTAAGGCTGTATCACCTCATCCCCTCCATTCCTTCTCCATCCTGAGCCAAATGAACAGTTTACTGGATAGTTCACTTGGATCTTTAGGGTGAAAAGGACAGTACAACTGGTTGTTAATACTGGAGTGGTTTTCATAGTGTGGAAAGGTATAGTAGCGTATCAGTTCACTGTAGTATGTTATGCTTATTCTCAATTTTGTGTTGTATGCTCCATGCTTAGGAGGACAAAAAAATCCTGCAACCCAAGCCTGTATAAACCAGGCCTATTTTGCAGCACCTTTCACCTGCAGTGAGCACATTTTCCTCCCTCTGTGCTTCCATAGTTTGCTTCCTGTGGTTGAGGTGTCGCTTAAATGTGAATCTGGAGAACGAATTGAGAGAATGACTTCCAAATTTTTGTAAGAAACAAGCCACCTTTTGGGAAAGCTAGCTAGGTTCTTTTTTGGTTTCTCTCTTATTTCTCAAGATCTTCCTGTCATGGGGTAGCTGTTTATTTTAGTGGATACTAAATACTGGAGAGGTTTTCTTATTCTTCCCCTCAATTTCCTCTCTCTAGGAATATTTCTAATATTGCTGCATATTCTAATACTAAATGCCTAAAATTGTCTGGTTTTGAACAGAATCCTGCTGGCATTTTAGGTTATGCCTCCATAATATCTTGTTTTATTTCTAATTGCTAGAAAGTGAATGTGTAAGCATAGTGCTTCACAGAACTGCATTTCCCACCCAACTATTCTTGAACACTCATGAGTAATAGTGTATTGTTTGGCTTAATGTACATACTAAATTGAATATTGATTGTTCTTGGTGTTTCCTTTTTATTAGATGATCCTTCAGCTCCAGAGCATCCTCAGACGGCCATTTCCGGTCAGACGTTGTTGACTGATGAAACTCCTTCAGCCGTCTCCAAGTCCAGCAAAAGTGCTGGGAAAACCAGTGACATAGAAACGGCAAACCTGTCTCCCAGCCTGATTCCTGCCCAGCAGCCCACAATATCCCTGATTACAGACGACAACACGGATACCCTGAGCGTAGAGTCGCTGACTCTGGTGCCTCCGGTGGATCCACACAGCATTCGGACATTCCCCTGCATCCCTCAGCCCTCTTTGCAGCCTGAAGATGAAGTTTGCAAGGTAAAGGAGGTTGAGCAAGAATGTTCTGACTAAAGGCAACATGCAGACTGTAATAAACAGTGAAGAAAACACATCCAAATTCTGAATTGTTTTTTTCCTCTGGGAGTGCAGATACTTCTTGAAGCCTGAGAGGCCATCGGGTCCACAAGGGGCCCACTGGTGAGTGAGACTGTCAGCAGCTTTTAGAGGAAATGTTGGATACTCAGCATATCTCAGCTGGAGAAAAGGGGAAAAAACAAACTTTTGAATCTGGACTGGTTCTTTCCTACCAATTTCTGTTATACAAGAACATGAAAGTATTTCAGAGGACCTATTGTCTTTCTAACAGGAACTAACTAATTGTAAAAGGTATACAGTATTATGGGGAAGAGAAGAAATTTTTGGATACCCAGCTTCATGATGCTGTATTATTACGTCTCTCAAACTGGAGAAATGCCATTGACCAGAAAAAAATGATATGTTATAGTACAGAGGTAAAATTTCCATTTGAGTCAGGGTGTGGTTTTCGGTTTGGTGTTTGGTTTTGTTTTTTGGAGGGAGGAGGGATTTTGGTTTTTTGTTTGGTTGGTTTTTGTTTGGTTGGTTTTGGTTTTTAATCCTGGTCTTGTTCATCTTTTTGGAGGTCTGCATGATACCAGCAGGCATGGCCACTTTCAGTGTTGTCTTCATAGGACTCCAGACTTCAATATTGTTTTTTCCATATGTAATATTTATTTCAAGGTTTGGTTCAAAGCAAGATACAATTTTCTAAAAGGCAAAAGTCTGAAGTTAATGAAAAATGCTTATTCAAATTAACATAAGGGATTTTTGAGACTACTTTGGTCTTTGCTTAGCCATCTACAGAGGAATGTGAAACATTTTAAGAGATTGCTGTAGCTTGTTTGTTTGCTTCTGACAGTCAAATTGCTATACCTCTGAGGAATGGTGATATCCTTGCTCCTGAAAGACAACTTCAAGAAGCAGACAGAAGCAGTTTTACTCCAAAGAGGGTTTTCAAATTTTTCGTAGTCATATAGGAAGGTCATCATATCTGACTGTGGATTCCTTTGCAAGTCTGAAACACAAAAGGAAAGGGATTGTATAAGGTTTTTTTCCCATCTGGGCTGATATCCCAGTTAAACAACATTGCTACATAACAGTGATCCTGAGTTTGTGCTTGGCATACTTTGCTTCCTAGATCCTGGCACCAAGTTGACAGAGAGTAGTGGAAAAGTATTGATTAAAGTCAGGGATGTTCTGTGCTGATTTCATACGTAGTTTAACGTGAGTGAAATTTAAGATTTGTCATCAATTTCTAAGTATCTTAATTTAAATTAATAGTAAAATGAGCAGATTGTCATTGTGGGTCTGTTCATACCTGAGTGCTTTCTGGCTCTAAAGAAGGAAGTCTGCTGTTTACTGGTATTGATTTCAGTCATCAGTGCAATCTGTTTCCTCATTCTGTCTCCACTACCATTGATTTCTTTTCAAATGGGGGAATCTGAAAAGTTTTTACCTACTTCCCAGTTGTTTATTGTACCTCTTTCTGGCTGTCATATGGAATACTTGAAGTGATTTTCAATGTTATATATATAGTGTAACTTTTCTCACTTTTTCCATCTTCTCCTTCAAATAATAACTTAAACTTTCCCAAACATATATATAAGGTGTCTGCTACTGAATGCCAGTAATTTTTCTCCTCCCCTCAAATTGAGTTAACTGATAATTCTGACCATTCCAGAGTGGCCCTGACTCTAAATGAATTCTGAGAATTAGGTGTCCTGAGCACAGCTATGGATATTGGATGAGAATTTGGCATGGCTGGAGTAAGGGCTTACTTTTTAGGGTTTTTTGTCACGTACTTAGGGTGAGTTGGCACTCATGCAGTCACTGTTGCAGGTAATGAGCATGTACCTGCACAAGCCTAGACATCACTAGCAATTTGGGCACAAGGGCTAGGTAAATTATTAGCTGAACTGATTGCAATCTAGACTTCCTCTAGACAATTACTTTAAAAAAGGCCTTAATTTGAAAGCATTTTATGTTGGTTGTTAACCTTAAACTCTTGACCTAGATTACACAAAATGCCACTGTGCAGAATGAGTTCCCTTAAATAGAAATGTTTTTAGACAGGAAAACCTTGATCTTTATTTATCTCCCTTCAAATTCAGTTCTAGGAAGATCAGAGCCATGCATGAGGAGTCTCTTTGGGTATTCGTAGTCTCACCCTTGAGCCACACTGCACAAGAAAGGGGACAAAGGGACAGAAAGCTGACTTTGTGCTTTAAATTGCCTTTGAGTGGCTTTTAAATCTCGTGACCAGTTGTCTACTGAGAACTTCAGAGGAAATGACTGGGAGGGATGCTATTATTAGGAAAATAGAAGACTAGGTCTACTGTCTCTAGCCTGCTGCTGGCAGAGCCTTGCTGGTTGAGGGATAGGTGGGATATCTTGTAGCAGTTCTATCAAAAGCTCTCTGCAGAGATGGAATTGCACCAGGAAAGCTCTGACTGCACCAGCTTTACCGATGTTGGGGTGTTATTCTTAGCTGGGTCTGGATGGTTCTGCCACAGAATTGATTTTTGACGTTGATGTTAAGGCATGTACAATTTTCTGTGCTTTGTGCTGCGTTAGGAGACTTCAGAGTGTAAAAACTCTGGAGATGCCAAAATAATCTGCCACTGGTCATTTTTAAGCTCTGCAATTATAATACTCATCTGCAGTTCCTTGAAGAGTATCATATCTATCTCTCACTCATCAGAATCTGTTTCCTTAGGCTGTTTTCTTATCCTCCTTTCACTGTAAAAAGGAAACTCAACCAGGAAGGCATCAGCACATCAGCCACAAATGTAATTTTTTTCTTAAAAAAAAAAAGTTTGAGTAACATCACTTTCTAACCAAACCCAAATACCAAACTGCAGGTGAGAGCAGCAGCTACACACCTGGTCATTCAAAAGCCCCACTCTTTCAGTGCAATACTGCAGAGGGAGATAGAATCACTCTAAATACAGCAACGTTCCAGAGCAAAATACCACAATTCTGGAGATATGCTAAATTCTCAGTGTATGTTTGTAGGGGCTGTGCCTCTTCAGCCATGTCCTGTCAACAGAACACAATCCTGTTATTCTCTTCCTTTGGAGAAGCCGAAGAAGCCTGAGCATAATGAATGTTACTTTGCTATTTTATGGTCTGTGTGCCTTATTTTATTACATTTTACCACTTGTTTAACAGAACTGTGTGTCACCTTCACTGCTTTTTGCTGGTCCCCTTTGCTTTGTTGTCACCCAGTGTACAGCAGTGACCCAGACCTGAGCTTTCCATTTGTGAAGGGAGTAGTGGCAGCAGACACTTGGTAATTTGGTGAGGAAAGGGAGGGAGGAAACACCAGTTCTGGTGTCTGCTTAACCATGAAAGTAATGCTTGCAGTGTGAAATTTGGGTGTGGAAATCAATGGTTTTGCTGAAATTCTTTGATATAGAACAAAACCAAAGGTCAAGCTTCCTGCACTTCATTTCACAAGCTGTGTGTATTAAACCAATTTCATTAGAAATGTGGTCACATATATTACTACAAAAAGCTGTATTTTGTCTGTGAAGTCATGAATTATATACACTGTAAGGGCAGAGCTCATTTGTATTCTCCACTGCTAATCATGATAAACTATAAAATTCTGACTACACTTTCTTAAATTACACTGAGCTTAAAAAAAAAAAGGAATATATAAAATTACACCTGTTGAAGAAGCTCCTCAATGTTCTTCTCTTTGCAATGCAGTTGGAATTTTACTTGAAGTTATTTGGTGAGGAAGAATTGGGAATATCTTCCAGAGTTCATTTATTCTTTTGCAGTATTGTTGCTGAAAGACAGGTATGTGACATTTTAAAAAAAAAAATCATCTTCCAGATCCAGGATTTAAGGCTCAGATACAGATCTGTATTCAGAGTTTAAGTCAATGTCCAGTGATTAATTTAAAAGCTTTACCCAATAGAGACAGAGTACAGGAGAAAATAATGTTCCTTTCCGGATTCAAAGTATTTTGGTTTGTAGAATTTGAGAAGTGATAGTTAAAATTGTTTGTTCACGGCAACATTTACGATGTTCAGAATCAGAATTACTGTGATTTTGTTTTCTAGGTAAGCAGTAAGGTGTGAGTGACTGTAATTTCCACTTACTGAAAGTGGCTTTGGGGTGATTAAGCAATCCAGGAATTCAATAATTGCCCTGTAACTGAGTGTCACTTCACTAGTAGTAAAATAAATACGCTTGAAGACATAGGTAATGTATCAGATAAGCAGGTCAAACTGTGTGCGTGAGTGGGAAGCCACTTCATAAAAGTAAACACTTCATTCCCGTGGTGCTGTCACTGGTGTGACCAATCACTCTCCACTGCACATTCCAGGGAACTCCAGAACAGCCTCAGGAGTAGTCAAGGTCATAGTAGTCAAAAAACACCACCAGCCTAAACGTTCTGACGTTGTCTCCACTACCCAGCCAAAGCTGAACAGGGAGTTGCTTTCAAAAGCGCAAAGTGAGGGGCTCAGTGCAAATCAAAGGTTTGCAGAGTCATCAGCTGGAGGTCGTGGCCTATTGCCTCTGAAGATAATGAGTCTCCTACTTCCAAACAGCCTGATGGTAGCCATCGAAATGTATGTTGGAAATTCTCTTCCTAACTGCTACTGTCATTCTTCTTGAAAGTGTCTTTTGGTGTGTCACTGCTTAACCATCCCTGGCTTACCCTGGGGTGTCACTAACTGGACACTGCTCTTCTACTCTCTAGAAACCTTTGGAGTAGTTCTGCCGTGCTTGCCTGCTCTGTTGCTCTTGACCTTTCCCAACCTTTGCAGCATGAATTAGAAACAAATATAATAACTCTTACTGTCTCCTGGTGGATTTGGAAAAGCAGGTCGTGGTCCAAGCAGGGCGGGTGGGATGTTTTTAGGGGCTGGGAGGGGGGAAGTGCTTGGGGGTTTTTCCCGCTGCTCAGGATTTTTTGAGCAGCAACAAAGACATAGGAGATGCAGTTCTTGGCTGAGTCTCAAACAGAAGGTTCTTTCATATGGAAACATATTTTTATATTACATTTGTACAGAATTTTCCCTATTTTGATCTCCCACCGTTTTTAGATTTGCGCGTTGCTCGGATTTGATTTCTTTTGCGAGGTGTTATAAAATGTATATTTTGTGTTTGTTAATGTATTATAAATGTAAAGCTAAATTTTGGTTGTCTAATAAATGTGCACTGTGGTGGTATCTGGTTTATTGTTTTACTAACTTGAATTCATTGGCTTCTTAATAAGAAAAGGAAAAACTTGAGTCATTGTTGGGACTTTCTTGTCATAAAAAAATGAATGGAGTGCATTTATTTTAAAAGAGGGCTTAAGCAAGTAATGACTAACAATACTTGATAACAAAGTTAGAGTTAAGGTTCAGATTAGTATTTAGTGTTCACAGGAGCCTTTTAAGACTGTAATCTGAAGATACATTAGATTTTTATCTTGTTCCCTATTACTTTTGGTTCTGGGTGCTCATACTAAACTGAGTTTAAGACACATAGTAATTGCAATCTGATAACTTCAATATGTATGAGGAGATGGGAGGGTCTGAGGTTTTGTGGCACAAATATTTACACTGAACACGAAGGTAATTTTTAAAAAGATTGAGAATACATTCAAGTGTGCAAATTTATAGACTATTAGAATTTCTAGGAGCTTTGTTTTGCCCAGGGATAGCACTGAATAACACATTGTCACAGTTCTAGGGAACCTGCTGGAAGCATTATAAACTTCAGAAAATAACTTTAGGCATCTCCACTTATGAATAGCTGTGTTGATATTTTTGTTGCAAACTTTTTATTTCATTTTGAGTTGTTTTGTAAGTTTGCTTGTTTCAAGTGCAAAGAGGGAGAAATGTATTTTTCTAGAAGAATGAATGTACCTGGGGTTTAAACACTACATAAAACGTTTCATGAACATGGACTGTCCTCCTATGAAATATGTTTCAATAAAGTTGTGTCTGAAATGTACTTCATTTGAGAAAAAAAATCAAGTCCTGAACATGCACTTACATTTACACGGAAAAAAGCCCAAAAATGGGGTGAACTGAATTCTGAAATGTCTTTCTACAGGCAATAAGTATTAATTATTTAATATAAGTTATTTTAGACAGTTGGAGTAAATGTGATGATATGTTAATTTAAAGAAGAATGTAAATAAGTGTCTGGAAAGGGAGTGGAATTAGAAAATATTGTGTATGTTTCTGAAATCCAGATTTCTATAGCTGAGTCTGTATTTGCTGGCATTGGTCGTGTGTCGTGGCTATTGAAAACCTGGACAAGGATGAAGAATGGACCTTTCTTTGTAAATGGAACTTGGCAATAAAAATGGTGTTACTAAGGAAACTTCCTTCCCTTTTCATGCTCTGTTGCTGCATTTGATGCTCGAGGATGTTCAGTAACAGTGAAAGGCAAAATTAGCAGAATTTGCTGTTCGTTAGAAGAATGTTGTGCGTGTGTGAAGGGGGGGTGTTTTAATCTTTGAGCTGAAAACTGGAATAACCAAAGTAATTTGCACTGTGTGTGCAGGATGGACACAGCATGAGAGGGAGCAGAAAAGAAGCCTGAAGGGGAGATGGAAAGTAGATGAGCCCAAAGGTTAAAGATGGCTGGGCAACATCTAAAATATCTGTGAACCACTTTGAAAGTGCCTGTCATGTGTGATTTCCTCCCCAAGTATATCCTTGCACTCTCTGCCTCTTTTCTCTGCTGTATGTTGCCAGTTCACTGTATGGATTAAACCCAACCAACTTATTAATTAGATTCTTGTTAATTAGCCTCTACATCAGTAGGAATTAGTTGCAGTCATATACATTCCTTGTGAAATGTTATTTCTCAAACTAATCATTGCTCCAGGAGCATCTTGAGGAAGAAATTCAATTACATTGTACATTGAAATAGGCAAGGAAGGTATCAGAGGGGGGAGACAACCCTGGGATTTACTACAAGATGCAAGTATTAAAATATGGTGTATAATGGAAAATGAGTTTAAATCTGCTCCTGGCAGTTGAACTTTCTAAGTTGTGACAGTGATACTGCTTTAAGGGTGCCAGTTTTCTAATCTGTGGGCAGGAAGTTTCCTTCCTTCCTAAGTTTGAACCTGGTCTGTGATTCCATATCCTGATGCTTCAGAACTTTTTCAGCCTTTTGTGTTGTCATTTTTCCTATGTTTTTGCACAAAGTCTTTCTAGACTCAGACACTGAGTCAGATTCAGCATCTTGTCCTGCATCACTGATGATCAGAGATGGAATTAAAGCACAGCCTCCAACCCTCTCCTCATGCTGACTGTTGAAAATGAGCTGGACGGAAATGCAGTGCTGTAATAGCCCCCATGAATATGTAAGTGCAACAACTTGAACAGTCCTGTAACAGGTAAATCCACAGCTTCATCATTAATATAATTCCAGCATAGTTCTATAAATAAGAAAGTGAAACTCTGTCAAATACATGTATCTTCATCAAAATAACTCTTGTCTAAGTAAAGACACTGCATTTGGAGATTGGTATCTTCATTCTTTGACTCTTAAACTTTGTTTCTGTATCAAGGAAAGTGTGTGTTGGGTTTTCATGGATGGAAGAAGCTGCATGTCTGTGCTGCCATGTTAGAGCCTGTGTGAAGACAAAAGCCATTTTGGCACTTTCTGATGATTTTCTTGAATACAGGATGCATACAACTGGGAATGAGTGTAGCTGTATTCCCTGAAAATTCCATTGCATTTTAAATGATACCTTTTGTCTCTCAAATAAGGAGAGGTGGAGGGAGTTGCAACACCTGGAGCTGCAAATCTCCAAAGTGGCAAAATTAGAAGGGAGGTTTCAGGCCAGTGTTCACACACATTGAACTGAGGGGGACTAAGTCAGTCCTGTTGGAAGGTGTTCAGTTGTGTGTCTGCTTTTAGCTCCAGGGTTTTACCAACAGCTTATCTGCAAATATGTCCAGGTCTTAAAATGATTATTGGTTTTGGATGCCAGTTCTCTGAAATGGATTTTAAGAGGTGAAGTGCCTGATTATTTGGACTTGACATTGAGATCTTTTGAAGTAAGTTGAAAGATTTTGCCTGTCCTCAGACACTCACTCTACAAAGTTGGGAAATGTTGTGCTTGTTGAACAGAAAATACTGATCTCCTCATTCCATTCTCGCTGTCTTGCCCCCAGATAAAGGTTTATATTTCACATAGGCCACAGTTTAATTTTTTTTGGCCTGTTTGGATGACTGATAAGCGCAGATGAATACTTGGGCTTTGTTTCTTAGTTACACAACATTTTTCTCGGCTTTAGTATGGAATAAACATTGTGACATCGGATGAGAAAACAAGCTGTTATTTTACTGTAGAAATAAATTTTGTCTTTTAGTTAATTGCGTGAAGGCATCTTTGTGTAAATTTGTCCTCATTTCGGGGTCATTTGTTTGAAGCAGATTAGAGCTGCTGTTTGAAACTGCATGTTGATAGTCAAGCAAGGCAAGGAGGCAGATAACCAGGTTGTGTCACCACCACAGGGATGGTCAGAGCTGGCTCTCCCTCAGCAGCAAGAGCTACCAGAAATAGAAACAGAGTTTCTGAAGGAGGAGAGAGGCAGAACCACCATAATGTCTTAGAGAAAAGAATTTCAAGTCAGCAAAGGTCAGGTAGGGTCTGCAAAGGAGAAAAGTAATCTTACTCTTCCTAAGAGAACCTAATTGTGATAGTAATGTGTGTGCCCACACTTCTACCCTGAATATCAGTGAAAATGCTCTGCCCACATTGAGGGGAAATTTGCATCTGTCCTCCCTTAAACAAAAGCATCTCTCTTAATAGTAGATACCCCTTACTAACAAGCAGTCATTGGGAAATTATGGGTAAGATGAGCACTTCAACAGTTTTTGGAAATATCCAATGGTGAGTAAGGACTGGGGAATCAAAAAAAAAAGAAAACCACAAACTTTGAGAAATCACTAATGCAGTCAATCTGTCAACAGGGTGAAGTCTCTGTTTATTATGATTATTTCTTAGCATATCTTCTGTAGGCCACACTAAATGGAGGATTCCTTTTATCTGCAGCGTTGTCTCAGTCTCTGGTTTGTTACTCAGAATCCAGGAGTGTCGTGACTCACTGTTGATTCACCGTTTGAAATGGTTTGGTGAGGCGTTTTTTGTTACTGGCTTTTATTTAAGAACTTCATCCTCTTTTTCTGGGGACTGAGAGTGCAAATGTAGGTGCCTGTGTTGTTCAGGGGCACCGTGACTGGCATCTGCTCAGGGGAGCAGGTCAGCAGTGTGTTAGGTCTGCACCCATCGTGGGGCAGGAGAAACTGCACCAGGGGTTTTGCAGCACGTCTGGTGAGGGGAGGTTGCCAGTGAATATGAACAAAAACATCAATAAAAACACTATAAAGTAAATTCAAAATTGTACTGGTCTGCCAAATCCATGTTTTGGATGTGGAGTGACTGCTGGCTTTCCAGCTGTAAGGGGAGGGTTGGGATCAGGTCACAAAGCAGTTGTTTCTCTAACCTGCCCAGGCGTTCAAAGACAGCAGTGCTGGAGAGCCCTAAATTACTTTGTGATACAAATTATTTCAGAAAACTAATGCTATTATTCTCCTAAAAAAGAAACCAGGCATTTCTGTCAGCAGTGTTCTCAAGTTGAACTGAGTTGGAAAGGTTTTAGGTTACTGTCAGGTCTGCTGTGACTGAATAGGACCTGCTGCAGCTTGATCTGCCCTGTCCTAAGGGTTTACAAAGCATCAGAGCAATCATGCATAGTTTAAAGCAAACTTTAATGCCATATTCAGGAGAGAATTTTCATGTAAGACAGTAATTAAATTTTATTTTAAGTTTATTTTTAGCTATTGACATCCATTTGCAGATGGAACAAGTCAAATAAAAATAACATAAATCAAAGGACCATAAAATAACTAGCTGGCCAGTAATTGTCTAACTTTGTATTTGATACTCTATTTGATACATCTGTTAATCTAGATGCATACAGTTCGGGATATGTTAAGATTTGGGAATATTTCCTGTACACATCTTACGATTTCTGTTTGCTATTCTAGAATTAAATTAATTTAGTGTGTTAAATAGACTTCAAATAAAGTCCCTTGGCTTTGTCTGATTGGTGGTAGATTTTGCTGTTCCATTTTGACTTCTCTCTGATAAGAAATTTGAAACCTATTAATTTCAATGTAATGTCTTGTTTCAGGTATTAAAACTGAAAGAACAAGAGGTTGACAGGACATGAGAAAAGAAAAAACAGTCGTATATTTATATTTCATCGCGACCTTTGTTCAGGATATCAGTTACTTACCTGGTACTACAAAAACACATTATCTGTAACTATATCAGCTATAACTGTCCATGGCCACACTTGTGTTAATTGTTACTCTTTCTACACCACCACGTTACCCTGTGCAAACCCTAGAGCTGATGTGAGGAGGGTGTAGCGTAATTCCAGAGTTCTTGGGAACGAGATGTGAGCAGCTTTGCTCTGCTGCTTCTCCATGGTGCAGTTCACTTGAATTTGCTTATCAGTTTATCAGCTTCAAGGCTTTCCTGCGAAAGTGTTGTTTGTAACCACTGTCTGCCAGAAAACCTGCAATTCTTACACAGCTGCCAAAACACTTTGGAGGGAAAAAGGCTTGCTTTGCCCGCTAAATTTTGGTTAAAATAGATCTTACATGCTTCTTTGTGAGGTTTCTGAACAGATCTTCATCTAAGATATTTTGTGAGGGAGGGAAACCTGTCACATTTTTAAAAGCACACATCTCTGTGAACCCCAGTCTTGGAGTTAAGCTTGCTCTGTCTTGTCTGAGTATGGAAAGAAAACCAGAGCTATTATAGGAAATCAGAGCTGACTTCTCCCTGACTGTGCCTGGATTATCTCACAGTGAGTGTTATCCTGGCATCAGCAGGCTTCACCTTTGCTTTAGCTTAACAGCACGTTGGACAGGTCCTTCCTGTCCCTCACTTCCCCCTTTTTAAATGTATTTATGTCAAACAGTTCGTGGTTCACTTGTGAAGCTTCCTTGGTGTTTGCAAAGCACTTTGGCGTTGACGCCAAGAGTTAATCTCTTTATCACCTTGCCATAAAGAAATGTAGTTAAACCCATCATTTCAGTCTTAATTGCTCACACCAGGTAATGTAGTTCCTGGTGAATACCTGTAACTTTCAAAACAAATAGCTTTTTTGTTTGTTTGTTTTTTGCACCATAACTGAGTCATCTGGACAAATTCCAAACGTTAAGGAAAAAAATCTTGCACCTGGCTTCTAGGATTGTTTCATTTAACTTTTGGTCATAATTTGCAGTGGTTCACTATTGTCCGGTCTGGTTAATCCACAGGAATGTCTCTGACGTTTGAAAAGAAG